CGAGAGCAATATTCTAAAAGATAAAGGCTAGATAAAGATAAACCCTAGATCAATACAGAGGAAATTTTAATCCTCTTCAGCTTTGAGGGTTCTAACATGACAGGATAGTCGGGAATTACAAACATTTGCCATCGGATTCAGTTTATAAATTTTAATAATTATCGGAAAACAAAGTGCATAAAGGTTGGAACTTGCTGACCTTTTACGGATCTGAATTTTTGAAAAACAACAGATACCCAACGCTTAAATCATTATAACATTTCAAAGGAACATTCCCTGAACCAGTCTGCAATTTATCAGTTTCACAATTGTGTTCATCAAGTGCAAAAGGGTATCCTGTCAGCAGACATGCCATTCGGAATACAGTTAGCCTGGGGCAGGTAATGTGATTTGTGCCTTACTACTTGATTTATTGCAGACAGTAAAGGCACATTAGTTTGGTTTACTTGAGGTGAAGAGATTTTTAAAATACTGCACGGGTAAAATATTGTACAGCTCTTAAGGGCTATTTGAGGAAATTAAGCATGGGGGGGGAGAGGTGGTTGTGTCAGAATTTTCTATATATATTTAGAGGAGCCGGTAAAGGAGTTTCAATGCATTAAAATTATGAATCCCAAATAGTGCCGTATAATATGTAATGGTGCTATATATTTTTTTTATTTTCCCGCCCATCATCCTTTCCCTGTAAGTGGCAGTTTATGCTGGAACACAGATCCAAAGATGCCAGTAGTTCATTTAAGGTCTCATTCAAGTGTTCTTGTGCTTTTTATGTGTGTGAGCTCAGTCAGCGAGCATCAATTCTTTTGAACTGGTTTGTATTGCAACCGTTTTGATTGTTGTCCTCGCCTAGTATCCACGTGTAATCGTAGTAACTCATTGGATACTGATCAGGATTTCAAACTATTTTTTCTTCCTCCACCTCTTATCGTAAGACAAATTGTAGCAACCCAACTGAGATCAGGGAAAACCTGGGAGCATCCCAGTCTATATGGCTCAGTACCACACAACCCCATGCAGTTAACCACTCTTAAATCATATCATCTCTTACCCACTCTTTGCATCGATGTATTTAGCAAACTGTCTTAATTTCTTGCTCTTTTCCCTTATTTTGAAAGACAATCGAGAAATTCATGATCATTTATTGCCTGAGTTCTTTTACATTTGAGGAATGGTTTAATGCAATCCTTTGGCAAATCACCCGAGTCCTTCTCATGTTTTTCTTGCTCCAGGTGTACTGATGTATTTAACCCTTTTTATTGTTGGCAAAGTAGCATTGTCAAGTGGCATTGTGCCGTTTCCCAAATTGTAGAGCAATTTCTAACAGTACCCAGAAGTCAGGGGGACATGTTCATATATAATGGGTTCTGTCTCGGCTGCTCATTAATGGAGAGACGTCAGGGGAACCCAGGAGTGGAAAACCTAACAGGAGTGGGAAAACCTGAGCAACGGCTGCTCATTGAATCGTTGTGTATCCAGCTCTTGGCCTCTGTTCTCATTGACGGTGGTGTTTGGCATCAGAGAAAACACAAAATTGTATTTTTGAAATGTGAGAAGCATTTTTCATCGGTGTGTCAAACAAAGTTATGGAACAATACGCTGGGTCTATTGAATACTTCTGGTTGAAACTTTTGCAATTCACTTGTCTTACAAAGATTTCTCCTCCACCCCACCCCTTTCTTTCCTTGAGGGTTCCTATTATCCAATTCAATTTGATTAAACGGTTCCACAAAAATATTTGAGTAAACTAAACTTTACTTTCGTGGAAGTCACAAACTTTGACTGGTTATTGATGCATAAATATTGTAACATGCAGAAAAACCTTGATCATGCCTTCTTTCTTCAGTGTGACAAGTACAGAAGGCAAATTCAATAGTTCACAAACAAAACGGACAGCTGATTTGTACCCTCCATCTACCTTGTGTGGCCACGTATGAAGTTCCTTGTTCTCCCTTGTTCTCCTCCTTCTCTCCCCCGTCTCCCCCCCCCCCCCCCCACCCCGAAAAAACATTGTGATAGTTTCATTGGATTACAAGAGACTTGAATATTTAGCATTCTGCTCTCTGAAAAGCTTGGCTTGAATGTGGAGAATATAGATCACATGGTGCCATGTGTACAAATGTCAGGAATCCCTAAAATTCCCACAATCTTTGACTTCCTTCATATTTTGCTTCCGCTCTGTTTGAATTGTTGTTGACTTGTAGATTTGACAAGTGAGAGAAGCATCTTACTTTGCCACGGCTAGTGGTCGTTGTGGATGGATCATGCACCAGGATGCCAACCTTTTTATTTTAGTAAACTGTCTTTTGTAGAACATTTAAGAAAATGCCAGTTGTTGATCCAGCAGCCATGAACGCACAATGTTCTGTGCACACGTATCTAACATGGTTGTAAATAAGGAACAGACTTCAGTATCATCAAACACCACTGTACAGCCATAGTGAGCATTGACATTTCCTGAATCTGCACCAAGCTCTTCCCCACTCCACCCCCCTCCTTCTCCCCCACCCCCCACCCTGGAAATCTTGACAGTCAAATCTTGGATTTCCAATTAAATTAGTTATTATTGCAACTGGAGATAACTGATATTAAGTAAGAGCAGGTTTATCTGTAGATATATTAGGAGTCCCGTTTGTATTAGTTATAGGGGATAAACTGGGATAAACCTTGCTTTGATGATTTAAGTATCCTCAAAGCCTTCGAGCTTTGAGTTGGTGGCAATGCTAATGAAAGTCAATAACCACTTCATTTTCAGTTACGGGAAGCACTCGCTCTTGCTGCCTTAATTATGTTGGTAAACTGAAACCGCCAATAACATTTCTGCAATTTCCAGTGACCAGTGAGATCTCCGCTCCTCTCTCTACTCACATTACGCACAATGTCCATCCTAAACAATTGGATTGAATAACATTCAGTAACATTGAAATGTATAGTTATTATTATAGTGACAGTCGGGTATCATTTTATCACTAGATTTCTTACGCCCCCCCCAGCCCCCTTCACAAGTCTCTTCTGTCATATAAACCTTGTGTTAAAATTTGGCCCATGTCAGTGTATGAAATATTGAAAGCAGATTGAGAAAATGTGCATTTCTCTGGCAACATGATACAACTGTTAAGAGCATTTGTCTGAAAGGATTTCAAACTGTTGAGTCCCTCTTGAGTACCAGAAAGTGCATTAAAGTATCTTCAGGCAGCATCTATGGAGAGAGGAAAATCAGTTAACGTTTCAGGTCCTTGACCTGAAACGTTAACTGATTTTCCTCTCTCCATAGATGCTGCCTGACCTGCTGCAGTTTCCCAGTGACTTCTGTTTTTATTTCCAGCATCTGCAGTATTTTGCCTTTCATTAATGTATCATTGCTTGTGAAATCAATCATAAAGATCTTGAAATCCATTCAGAATCCATGGCCTAGTTTTCAGGCTGGTATTAAATTCAACTCGGGGGAAAAATTAAAGAGTTTAGGGTGGACTCCCAGATAACTTTAGCGTGTTTGTGTAAACGTAGAACTTGCCAAACCTGCAAAGCAGCAATCCGGGTTGCAGCTCATCAATACTGCTCAATAATAATCACTGACAGGTTCCCGAGTAAGACACGTTATCTTAAAAATCTCCAATTCAGATATTAACCATCTCGAGTCACTTTGGGTTGCTCTAAATCAACCCAGTTGTTTAGACAATCCAAATCTTGTTGCAGTTGCCCTGAAAGAGCACAAGCTGAAAAGTCTAAATAGAATCAAAATAGAATCTGCAAAATATTCAAAGGTCGAATATCCGGTCCCAGATTTTACAGAACTCTTAGAAACCAGCATAATTATATCACCCAGCACTTGGAATATCTGCAGAACTTTGCATCTGATTTGGGGGCGGCTTTTTTTCCCTCTTCTCCTTTCCCCCGATCAGTATTTGCTATGGTGCTTTTACCACTAGAGGATTAGATTGCTGCCACATTAAGTCAATAGAACGACTGTTTAGTTGCCTAAATAGAAATGGTGTGAAGCTGCATATTTTTTTCTTCTTGCTAAATCATATTGTATTCATTCAGTTGTAATACTGAAAATGAAGTTGATTAATGAATTGTACGGCTTTATATACCCATTAAAAGGCAAAGTTGAATGAACGCAAGTCTTGTTTTCTTTCTGTCTTTGCTTACAGAGGAGTATCGCGTGTAGTTACTGGGTAAAGCAAAAAAATTGATGTTGCAATTATACGATCATTTATATCAATTTGACCCTGAATTTATTTTTCACATTTACCTCTTTAACAGTCGGTTGGTTACTCTTCAGATGAATTGGTCATTCATTTCATGGCTGTTTGTGGGAATCTTCAAATAGGCTTCCGCGTCAGGCTCCAATTCAGTCACTACACTTGACTGCAATCGCCTGTGAGGTGCTTTGATATGTTTTGACATATAAAGCCACCTTGTTAAATCCAATGATTGGCATCTAAAAGTAGGCCTCGCTTCAGCTCCAACTAAGGTGCTTTAGAATGGACATGAAATCCAAGCTCTTAGAATGTGATGAGAATTTGCTGAACAGTTGTTTGAGCTATTTCTTGAAAGTGAGAACTAACAGCGAAACTAAGTGGAGATGAGTCCGTATCCAACAGCTGAAGGAGCTGAGATGACAAACACGGACTTTCATAAACACCCTGAGGGTGGAGGAAAGGTCAAAGGAAAGCACTCAGTCCGTACTGAAATCTTCAACCTTGAAAGTTGAAACAGAAACTGGCTGTGAAAAAGCAGAACAGAAGCGTGTGTGTGCTTTAGATCAACGGCAGCACGCCAGGCTTCTGGGCAACTGGCACAATTTCAAAGAATTTGCACAAATTAACCGTCACGTTTGATAACAACACTGATTACATGGCAAAGTCATTTGCTGCGTACAACGCTTTGAGATGTTTCAGTGTGATAAAGTGTTGTATCAAAAGCAGCTATTGAAGTTGGAGTGCGGAGTTCTCGACTGGAACGCCTGATGGCTGAAGAAGAGAAAATGGCAACCAAAATTAAAGGTAAGTAATTGGATAAATCATTTATTTTAAAAACAATTGGAAAATGACAGCATATTCATTTATTATTTTCCTTATCGGTTCTTGGTCTCCACACAAAAACAATTTGAAATCCATAACCATTGACATACTGTAATTAATGAATACTTATTGAAACCATCACAGGGTATCCCAGCTGATTCTTTCCCCCTCCCTCGAGGTGCATTGTAAACCATTATGATTATCACAACTGAGATTGGCTGACCACCCATGCGCAGGTCACCAAACAAGTCACACTTTACCAATTCCCGCCACCATTCTATTTTTTTGATATAAGACACTACTATTTATTGCATAATATCTTTAACCAAAGCCTTAATAACGTCACAAATCTAGTCCGTTTGTGCTATTGTGATCTGTAGTTAAAAAGAGAATTGCTTTTTTTCCTTTCTACAAGCCAATGAATTCAATGGCTGTTGAGAGGAGAGACACCAGGAGAGGAAGAAAAATAGAGAAAACCTTTCCACTCAGGTTAGTTGCTGTTTCAGAGCAGCGTTGACAAAGGCCTGAGAGAAGATCTTTTGCTCTCTTAGCTGTGGGAAAACAGCGGGATTTCACACCTTTAGCTGCAAGTTTTCAGAAATGTCATGCAAAAAAGGGTTAGTTCGCAAAAAGTGTAGAAGTATGTATGAGCATATAATCAATATGATAGTTCTAACAAAATGGTGTAGAACATCAGCATCTTACACCAGATAAATATGACCCTGATTCAATTCCTCACATAGTGGAGAAATGGCCTTTGTGTGAAGCACGGGATTTGTAGAATGAGGCAAAAGTAAAATTACTGTAATCGTGGGTTCAGGAAGTCTCTGCATCTTTTTCAAGTCTGGAAATTGTACAGATGAAGCCAAAGAGGTGGCAGAAATAAAAACGATACATTCATCAAATGCAACCATTTACTCCAACGACCAAATAACTGTTCAGAATAAATTCACAAAATCTTAACACATTTAATTACTAACTTCCACTTGTAACTCATTTCATTTGGATTATGCCCTCGTGCCCCTCCAAATTAAACCATTTAAAAATCAATGTCACAGAGGTAGAAATTGTTTGGGGGAATGGGAGTGAACAGTTCAGAATTATTCATGCTTGTATTGCTTATCCTTCTATACACAGGTGCCCATTTGACTTTCAACAACTACTAGTATCTTTCACATAGGGTAACAACTCAAATGCTTTGCTTATTGTGTGAAGACCTGAATTTTGTGAGGAGATAGAAGTACCCTCTTTGAACTTCGGGCAAACAAATCTCTTCCAACACATTTATAATTAGGCCTTTTCATAATCACAAGCAAGTTCCCAATGTAAAATTCGGTAGCTTTTGGTTTGAGTGAATAATTTTTACAATGAGAACAATAAATAATATTTTGATAAACATAAATATTTTACATTTTCATTCAAAAGACATGGATGGCTATCTGTGTGAATGTGAACTTCAACCTCTCAATTACTGCATTTTGTGTTAAGGAAGTGACACCTCCAGATTTTTTAGACTTTGTAATGGACACCACCTGTGATGTGCATCAACATAATTTCTAGACAGTCACGTTTACCACACCAAACACTGCAATACACAGATGGTCAGGTCAAATCGGGAGGAATTTTTCACACTATTTTTGGTAAACTGAGCAATACATTGCTGTAAAAATATTTAGTTTATCATAATTATTAATGTTTCCAACATAGGTGAAGAGAGACTTAATCTCCACCAATATAAACTGAACTACTATTTATGACTAATTTGTGCTTACTCTTAAACTGAAAGCGACTCCCAAGTGATTTGGCTTTTTTTTTGCTGATTTTATTCATCAAAGATCTGAATCCACTCTCTTTTTGTACTGATATTTTGCAATCGACTGATCATGTAAAGACTGATCCTAAAGAATCCAAAAGGTTGCATCTCTAAGCAGATGCACAGTTCAATAATAGTTTGTTTTAAACACTTTATTTTGAAGGGATTATTATCCCCAGAAAAGCAATCCACCAATACACTAACAACCGGGTTCTTGCTAGGTAAACAGAGGCATGTGGAGTAAGGAAACTTGCCCAACGTTTCACACTGCCTGGGAATCAAACCCAGGTCCTCGCTTGCGAGGCGAGTGCTCTAACCACTGAGCTACAGGACTCCACAATAACCACAAGTGTATTTTACAATGAAAACAGCAGACACATTGAATTAAAATATTCTGATCAAATCAAATGTCTCCGGTTCACAAAATAAAGCTTTTGAACAGTTTATTACTAAAGTATTTTTTTAAAAAACTTCAATCTTCTTCTGTATTAAAGTCCGTTCTATCCCACTGCTTTCCAGAAGCTGGTCAGTAAACCTGTAAATGTGTGGAGGTTGCTCCATCTCGCCAAGGCTGAACATGGTCCAAGATGACAGTCCGACATAGGGGACAGGTTTTCTCTCGATTAAACCAGAGCGAGATGCACTCCTCACAGAATATGTGCTGTAGGACAGACAGAACAGAAGGAATTCATAAACGTTCTCTTAAATATCCTGGTCTATATTTTTGATCGGATATAGCAGTAATCTACTCGGATAGTACCAGGGATGAAGGGGATGAGTTACGAGGATAGGCTGACCAATTTGGGCCTATATTCTCTAGAATATAGAAGAATTAGAGGCGATCTTATAAGATCATCAAAGGGCATGATAGAGTAGATAGTGGGAGATTGTTTCCCCTGGTTGGAGATACTAAAACCAGGGATCACAACCTTAAAATCAGAGGCCAACCCTTTCGGACTGAGTTGAGGAAGAACTTCTTCACTCAAAGGGCGGTGAATGTATGAAACTCACTACCCCAAAAGGCTGTTGACGCTCAGTCCTTGAACATATTCAAGACTGAGATAGATTTCTTATTTCAAAAGGGATTAAGGGATATGGGGATAAGGCAGGGTCAGGTTATTAGCTGGAGTTAGAAGATCAGCCATGATTGAATGGCGGGGCAGGCTCAAAGGGCCGAATAGCCTACTTCTGCTCCTGTTGTTATATGTCATTTTTTTAAAACAAAAGCATGTTCCAGAGTCAGTTATTTTATCTCCTGAACATTTACCTGACAGGTTAGGAGAACGGGTTCTCTAAACTCTGCCTGGCAGATTGGACAAATCTCACCAGCGTCACTGCATTGGTGCTGACTGGCTGCTATCCCATAGAGCTGCAAAACAAAGTTCATAAAGTTAACATAGCATGTCAAAAAGTCACAGGATAAATGAAATTGGGTTAAATAAAAGACAGAGACTGAATGCACCACCTGGTGACATCCTGAGCCATATGAACAAAGCAAAATTCAGGCTCAATCCCTTGTCTTTGCTGATCTCAACCAGTGTGGTGGAAGGCAGTGCTATGATTATGATTCAGTGCTGCAGCTTGGGTTAGGGCAGGGGTGAGGAAATCAGCCCAACTCAACTGGATGTGTTAATGTGCTTGTGTATGAAATTTAACGACAGTATTCATTACAAGGATAAGTGGAGATATTAAGTGATCACTGATTTCAGTTCCATGGAGAAAAACCAAAGGCTTTGGATGCATATCCTCCAGTCACACATACAAAATACTTCAAGGCTCGGAGTGATTATTGCTTGTTCACCTCCTTCAGATTTCGCCAGGCAGAGTTAATGGCAATATAAATTGCACATGTCTGTTGGAAGGAATATGCTCGATGCACACCATTGGCTGCTTTCAGTTCCATATTTTGTTTAACATTCTTATTGGTGACTTTCTGGTATGGAGAATAACGGTGCAGTAACCCAAACTGGTCACAAGGTGACAACACCCCAAACACAACACCCAGCAACAGTTATCTGAAAATCTAAGAGCAGGGAATCTAGAGAGCAGTTCGCTGTATTTTCCCACCTGCTTATGGAAAAAACTTTGTAGAGCGCTCCTGAATCTGCTCCACTGTCCATACACCTCGAGGAGCTGAGGATGAAAAACAAGAGGTAAATTGTTTAAGGTAAACAACTCCTAACTTACATTTTATGAGATTCCTTCAGAGTGCGAGTAAGACTCATTCATTATTTCTCGATGCAAAGCCTCGAAAACATTTTAAAGAAAACAGAAAGCTGACAGCTGCCGAGTTGAAAGGTACCGTTTTCCCATCTTTCATTAAGAGGAAAGAAAACATGTCAGGAAAACTCCCTAATTTTTGATCTATATAAATGACCTGGACTTGGATATAGGGAGTACAGTTTCCAAGTTTGCAGATGATACTGAGCTAAGAAAAGTAGTAAACAGTGAGGAGGATAGTAGCAGACTGCAAGAGGACATAGACAGACTGGTAAAATGGGCCGACACGTGACAGATAAAGTTTAATGTGGAGAAATGTGAAGTGATGGATTTTGTGAGGAAGAATGAGGAGAGGCAATATAAACTGATGGTACAATCTTAAAGGGGGTGAAGGAACAGAGAGACCTGGGGTTCATATAAGGAAATCTGTGAAGATGGCAGGACAGGTAGATAAAGCTGTTAAAAAAGCATATGGTATACAAGGCTTTATAAATAGGGGCACAGAATAAAAAAAGTCAGGAAGTTATGATGAACCTTTATATAAAACACTGGTTACAAAACACATAAAACACAGCTGGAGACTGTGTTCAGTTCTGGGCTCCACACTTTAGGAAGGATGTCAAGGCCTTGGAGATGGTGCAGAGGAGATTTATCAGGATGGTATCAGGAATAAAGGACTTCAGTTATCAGGAGAAGTTGGAGAAGCCAGCATTATTCTCCTTGGAGTAGAAAAGGTTAAGAGGAGACAACATAGAATTTTTAAAATTATGAGGGGATTCGATAGGGTGAACAAGGAGAAACTATATCCACTGGCGGTGGGTTGGTAACCCGAGGACACCAATTTTAAAATAGTTGTTAAAAGAAATAGAGGAGGTGAGGAGAATTTTTTTCACACAGCAAGTTGTTTGGATCTGGAATGCAATGCCTGAACGGCTGGTGGAAGCCGATTCAATAACAACTTTTAAGAGAGAAATAGATAATTATTTGGGGAGGACAAGTTTGCAGGGTTATGGGGAGAGAGCGGGGGAGTGGGATTGATTTGGATAGCTATTTTCAAAGAGCCGTCACAGACACGATGGGCCAAAGGGCCTCCTACTGTACTGTATAATTCTATGATTCTAATTCTGGCTGTTTGTTCAAAGTGTCAGGCAAATTGTGAAACTACCTTTTAAGTCAGTGCATCCGACATTCATTTATGCAATAATACAGTACAACTGACAAACTCCCTTCCACCCCCTGCCAAAACTTTAAAAAACTAATTTGCTCACACTTATTCTTTGCCCATAAGCACCAAAGTAGTCCACTTAATACAGCACCAGATACTGTACTGCATTTTGTACTTACCTTGAGTATGAGGTAGAACAAGCTTAGCAGTATGCCGAGTGTCCAGATCATAAACCCTTCGGATTCTTTATTGCCAATCAGGTATCGGAACCAAACTGGCAAAGGCATGAAGGAACGGTGAAATTGGCTCACTTCTTCAATGATCATGTACCACTGACCCTTTATTTACAAAAAAACAATTAATAAAGTTTTCTCTTTAAAAAAAATCAAGTTTGGTATTTGAAAAGGAAAAATTTGCAAGGACATGCGGAAAGAGCGGGGGAGTAGGACTGACTGCAGATCTCTTCCAAAGAGCCAGCAAAGGCACGATGGGCCTCCTTCTGTGCTGTAACATTCTATGAAGTTATTGAAGGCATGTTACGTCTGTCAGAATTATCAGACATCGGGAAGATTCATTCACCACCCTGCAGTCTGTTAAGAGTATATTTAGTACACGTCTGGAATGCAGCACAAGGAGACCGAATAATGGGCGCTGGGAGAAATTTCAAAATGTCAAGTCACCAGCATGGGGCGCTAGGAGTTCAGAGGAGAAGCTGCCAAACGGCCTTTAATGCTCAACGTAAAAGGAAAAAGGGACCGTCCTGTGCTGCCAAACAGATTCAAATAACATCACACTGAAAGAAAAAAAAACTACAAAACGCAAAACCGTTTCAAATGAGCTCAATCAATCACAAATCTTATCAAACCAAATTCTTATAAAATTCTACAGGCCGGGCATTTGAGCATAGGAGGAGGTGTGGCACTGTTATCTAATTATTCTTCCATGATCCACGACACATGAACATATCAGGGATCACCATTAAAAACCAAGATTCCTGGCTGATTTTCCTCTGTTGCCCATGATATCAGCTAGTTTTCGAATTCAAGATCCTCATCCTCACCTACAAGGCCATTCACGGCCTCGCTCCCTCCTATCTCTCCGACCTACTATCCCCCTACTTACCTGCCCGTACCCTCCGTTCCTCTGGCTCCGGTCTGCTCCACATCCCCCACCCCAACCGCCCTACCATCGGTGGCCGGGCCTTCAGCCCCGAGGCTCTGGAACTCCATCCCCCGACTCTCTACCCCCTCCTCGCTCCCTCCCTTCCCTCCCCTCACCCTGACCATTTCTCCCCTCCCTTCCCTCCCCTCACCCTGACCATTTCCCCCACTGCTCGGGTCCTGACCCAACTGTGCAGCGCCTTAAGACATTCTCCTGACGTGAAAGGCGTTCAATAAATGGAATCTTGTTGTTGTTGTAGTTCAACACACAACAGAGACTGAACCTGGGTCACTCCTGTTCTGTACTATTCACAACTACACCATGTGGCACAATTATCCACAGGACCCACAGCCCTTTATCAAGAATGTGCTCTGGATTTCAAGATGATTGGGAGAGAAATACCAGATTTACTAAACTTGAGTAAGCCAATTCATTATCAAGATTTATTCAGCTACACACACGTACTCACTGCACTTTACAGAAAGCTCTGAAGCACTTTCGACATGATAAGTTGCAAAGATTATTATTCATTTTACCTGTATATAATCAAATACATTTAGCAGCCAACTCCCCTGCAAGTTACTACAGCTGGGAGTATGCAAAGTGCTTCTCTCTCCTCTGAAGGTTACGGCCACGCAACGGAACATGAATATCAAGCTTAGCTGCAACATGAATAATATTAGGAATAACCTAACAAAGTCTTTTGGGAGCATAGTCACTCAATAAAGAGCTGGTGTGTGCTTGATCTTGAACGTTGTTCTAATGGATTTCCCTTATTGACAATGACATTGCAATCCTCCCCCCCGACCCCAAACAGAATCTGGTTTAAATGAATTGTGAAGTCACTGTGAGATCATCACAATGACCTGGTGGTTGTGACTCAACTACACGAGATACAGGTGAAGTTACCCTTTCGATACAATACAAAATTACATTTGTAGAGTGCCTTTCACGTCGGGAGGACATCCCAAGGCCCTGGACATTCAGGGATTTGGACCTGAGCTGGGGGGTTGGGATCAGGGAGGGTAGGAGGGTGACTGAAGGCACGGTCGAAGAGGAGGATCTTGATACAACAAATTTGACCAAATACTGATCAAGTGTTGCATTGGGTAAGTGCGTGGGATATCTTGTGTAATTGAGTGCTTGACAGGTGTTCCATTTCTGCCATTGGTATAAAAACAAATTTAAAAACTTTAAAGTCAGTAAATCAGTCTTAATGTCAAATATTAACTTGCATTAAATTGATGTGTGACGTGAAGAGATGTCACGAAAACACATCAAAAATAATGGTAATGGAATGGCACTGTAACATTTATTCAATGGAGTGTACCTTTCCAGCAAAGTCACTAAATAGCCTTCCTGGATATAAATAATCGCAGCAATTGATATGGCATCTTTCATGTAGGAAGCATATCTCAAACAGCTTCACAGGATGTACCGTAAAGTGGAGTGAAAGTGTATTTTGTAGGCAAACGCAGCTGCCAATTCGACCTACAAACAGCCATGAGGTGAAGGCTCAATTTTATTTGGGGATTGTTCTATTAAATGTTTTTGTTCTTCCCTATCCCAGAGCAGGGACACTGTTGTAATACTCACACTGCTGCCCCAACTGATCAGCTAACTCTGCAATGACTGGTAATCGAACCTGGGACCTTGCAGGTCTGTGTATTTAGTTTCACACTGGGGAGTAGTTTCACTTTGAGATCATGCTCGCATCCAAATTTTAGTGTTGATATAAGCACGACTAAAGTAAAGGAGGACTGTTCCCTGCAACAGTGAAGGAAACTTGAAGAGGTAATAAAAATATCAAAATTCAAAGTTTTTTTGCTCTCCGCACGACGTCACTCGAACCGTTTGAAATTACAAGCTAAAATACACCCGTGGGAGAAATTAGAAACCTCAACCAACTTGCCTCACAGGCTTCCATGTGAAAATTAAGAAGAAAATACAAATCCATATTTCGAGGATCAAACTTAAAAACTTACCCGAGATTTGAATGACATCAGAGGTAAAGGCACCAGGAGAACAAGGCACTTGAACCCCAAACAAACAAACTTCAATATGAAGTCTGCGATTCCCACGATCCACAACGCGTCCCAAAATCCAATGGGATCAACATTAGGAGGCAGAAAGATCAAGCTGTGAAGGGAAGATCAACCTGTTAACAAGTTTTGTTTTCAAAATCAGTTAAACACACAAGTCTTTTCTGGAATCTTATTCCACAAACTATCTGCTAGTTTCCTCTGAGTTCCAGATTCTCTTCGCCGGTGTCTCCAGCTCCACCATGCACAGGATCCAGCTGATCCAAAACTCCACTGCTCACATACTCACTAAACTCCTCACCCCCATCATTGTGGAGTCCTGTAGCTCAGTGGTTAGAGCACTCGCTTTGCAAGTGAGAGACCTGAGTTCAATTCCAGGCAGAGGGCGAAACCTTGGGCAAGTTTCCTTACTCCACACAGAGCCTAATAATAATCCCTCAAAAACCAAAAACAATAATAAATTGGTCATTTTCAATCCACGACCGTTTGTGGGACATTGCTGTGCACAATTGGCTGCCGCGTTTGCCCACAAATATACAGTCAATTCACTTTACAGTATATTCTGTGAAGCGCTTTGGGACGTCCTCCCGACGTGAAAAGCGCTATATCAAATGCAAGGATTATTATTATTATTTCAAATCCCTTCAAGCCCTGGCACCTCCCTAGCTCCCCGACCTGCTACCCACAGCCGCTGCTCACCTGGCTCCAGCCTTCTGTATATCCCTCATGCCCTCCATTCCACCCTGGGTGGCCGCACTTTCAGCCACTACGCCCTGAAACTCTGGAACACTCTCTCTCTATCCCTTGCCTTGTCCCTACCTTCCCCATCTTCAACAACAACAACAAAATGACATTTATAGAGCGCCTTTCACGTTGGAAGGACGTCCCAAGGCGCAGGACAGTCGGGGGTCAGGACCCGAGCATGGGGGAGGGTTGGGGTAGGGGAATGACAGGGAGGTGGGAGGGCAACTGAAGGCATGATCGAAGAGGAGGATCTTGAGACCGGCCTTGAAGGAAGGAAGGGAGGAAGCGAGGGGAAGGGACCGTGGGATGGAGGTCGCGACTGAAAACCTTCCTATTCGACTGTACCTACGGTCACCTCCCCCCGGCTCGGCGTCGTGCTCCGCCACTGTCAAATGCCCAGGGGCGCTACCCTGTGTGAGGGGCGCGACGTAAGTGCAAGTTTTTGTTGTTTTAATCTTGTTTTTGTTATATTGAACACACACACACATACCTGTAGTAAAGTGATTGTGACTGGAAAGTGTCGTAGAGGAGAAGGGAAGATCCTGTTAAAAATCCCAGCAACCAAGCACACTGCAATAATGAGCGACGCTCCTATAAATATAGAAAATGGAAAATCATGCACTTTCTCGCAGCCCAAATCCATTTAGTCAAAGCTGCTTAAGCCGGACACAGGGACGCTGGCTGTTTTGTCCGGCTTAAGCGGCGTCTGAGCTTAACCAAAATTCCCTTACCTCTTCCCACCCAGCAGAGGAGCAGCGCAGGCCCCTCCTCCCATTGGATGGGAAGGGGACCAATTAGCAGAGGCTCCAAGGTGATTGACAGTCTGAAGTCACTTGTGAATGGACCCAGTCACCATTCCCATTCCCTCCCTTGTTCTTCTGCCCCCCCCCCGTCACTGATTGACAGCTCGAATCCGTTCGTGGATGGCTGGAGTCCTCGGTCAATCGATCGGAATTTGATTCCTCCCATCTCCATCCCGGAGCCACATTTGGCTGAATGGAGCTGCGAGTGAGTTGATGGGAGGGCCGACCAGTGCGGCATTAAGTCAGGATTAACTGGAATGGATTCAATGACCTTATTATTTTTTTTTGAAGGGATTATTACCCACGGAAATCCAATTCTGCCAATTGACAAACAACCGGGTCCCTACTTACTGCTAGGTAAACAGAGGTGTAAAGAAACTTGCCCAATGTTTCGTCCAGCCCGGAAATTGAACCCGGGTCCTCTCATTTGCGAGGCTAGTGCTCTAACCACTGAGCTACAGGACTCCATGATGGATCTCAAGACAGATTTTCAAGTTAGGGAGAGGGCCAGGTGGAGGGACTCGTGGCTGAAAACTCACCTACCGTTGATGGGCCAGATCAGGTGGGAGACATGAAGCCGGCTTTGCTGCGCGGAGGAGGGAGCCAGAACAGTTGGGTTGCAGGTCGTAGAGGTTGGGGTGGAGTGAGGCAGTTGAGGTATGTCACACTCGCCCCATTTATTTTCTATGCCTGTCTGTTGTTTATATATATTGAATATATTTCATATATTCACTTTAAATATTTTTTTATATATTTAACGTTTTTGATATTTATGGTACCATCAAGTCTGACTCTCGCGTTGATTGCAACAATTTGGTAGAGTAACTGAATATCTATAATCTGCATAAATGGATAGGAGGGTGTATTGTTTTCCTATACGGTCACTTAAAGGATGATTTTGATTGGACCATAAGAAAGACTTGATGTAATTGGTGCTATACAACTACCATTAGGTACCCTGATTCGGAGAAGGGCTCAATGCCCATAAAAGAACGAGCGCCACGTCCTCGTGGTCGCTATTTTTCTACCTGATGACAACAAAGGTACATGCTCTGACTATTGATGAGTAGTAGTTGGTTCTTCGTGCACGTTTACATTAATTTTAATGGCTGCTAGCATGTCTAGTTTAAATGTGATTTATGTTTGTTAACTCATAGTTGTTTTTGTTGATATTTATCGTGTCGTTTAAGATTTAATGCCGAATGTTGTGGATTTCATCAAAGCTACAATAACATTCTGTTGAGCTAACTTAATTGTGCTTTAACTCGAGCTTTCTGTATAAATCAAAGAAGACCGAACTGGAGAACACCACTGAGGATACAATAAATCATATTATTAATACTATCCTCTGCACTTGTTTTCACACCCTATAATCTACAAACAGGTTCAGCCTATGTCACAGAGGTGTAAAATAAACCTCTGATTGACTGAAGCTTCAATTTGCTTTAATTTAAATAGCAATTGGTAGTACCTGTCATTGTGAAAGAACTTATTAGTCAAATTACACCAAGTTATAGGAACTTGCATTCATTAGTGAGGATTGAACAGTACACTCTGCGAGGGAGAGCAAGCTATAATGTGGGTGTACATTTACGGGTGATAGAACTGTCTCAGGTAACTGAAAGTGAGGATGAAGCCACTGTACTTAAAATTTTGGTGCAAAAACGGTTGTCAGATTTTACCATAAGAAATTTCACCAACAAAATAGTCAATTTGCTTTGCAGTGCATTCTATGAAGCGCTTTGAGACGTCTCGAAGACGTGATAAGGCGCTATATCAAATGCAAGGATTATTAGTATGATGGGGTGGTTTGATCGGACTAGCCTAGTCTTTAGCTTGTGTTCCATTATTAACAACGGTGGCAATGAACAAACTCCAGACAGTTACCCTGAAGACAGAATGTGTAAAAGTCGCAGTGACAATTCCTTCCTAGTCTGTGCCTGGGCATACTATAATTGGGGTAGTTAGGAACCGTGGGATATGGAGAGCAAAATATTCCGGGTTCTCGTTCCTCACATGTCTTGGTTCACACATGAATATTAGGCGCTTTATCATATGCAAGGATTATTATTATTATTATCCACTTGGGTATTGAACTGGAGAACACCACTGAGGAAACAATTAGTCATAATATTAATACTATCCTCTGCACTTGTTTTCACACCCTATAATCTAAAATCAGGATTTTGTCATACAGCAAAAGCATAGGTATGAAAAATCTAATTCATGCACCAACAATTATGCATCAGTTTAAAACTGTGGAGTCATCCCCAAATGAGAATTCCAGCTCCAATCATATAAATGTCAGCTCAGTTGGTAGCACTCTCACCTCCAAATCAGAAGGTTGTGGATTCAGGTCTTTGAATTCTAGACTGACGTTCCAATGCGTGGCAAGGTGGGAGGCTGTATTGTTGGAGATCCTATCCTTCAGATGAGACATTAAATTGAGGTCCAAAACTGCCTATTCAGATGGATATCAAAGATTCCATGGTAGTATTTAAAAGAGAAAGGAATTTTTCCACTGCCTGACAAACAATCTCTGAAATAAAATTGGTCTTTCGCTTTGTGGTTGTAAAAGGGACATTGTTTTGGACACATTGGCTGCCACATTTGCCTACAAACTACGGTCACTACACTTTGCAGTATATCATGTGAAGCATTTGGAGATGTCCTCCCAGCATGAAAGGTGACATATCAAAAGCAATGATTATTTATTATGCAATAATACAATCGGTACAGAAAGTAATTTCAATAAACCTACCTGCAGGAAGACCTGATTTATAATAGCCCTGTTTGCATAAAGAAATGTTACACACAGTCCACCGCCAACTGCAATACCTAAAACACAGTGAACAAATTAATCAACTACAACAGTATCTTATTTAAAATCCCCAAAAATATTTTACATAACTGCAGTGAAATCCTAAACACTGTAAAATGGAGATTATACCAATATACTGTTTTTTTTTGTGGTCTTATGCTTTAGAACTGTGGTGATATATATCTGGAGAGATTACGGATTTGTATCCAAGATACATGCTTCGATAAGTCATTTAAATTTTATGTGACTTAGATACAATTAATTCAACAATAACAACTCGCATTTATATAATGTCCTTCACACAGTGAGAAGTGACTCAGTGCACTTAACAGTGGCAGAGCTGGTTGCTGAGCCAGGGAGGAAAGGTGACCGTAGATATGGTCAAAGAGAAAGGTTTTCAGGTGTGACCTTGCCCGTCCGTGCAAGGCAGAGAGTATTGCCAGTAATTGACAAAAATCCTAACACATCCCAATTGGAGTAATCCCGCCCCACTGATAGCAGCTAACTCAAGACAGGCCAGGATTCAACCTTGCAACATTCCTCATCTGTTTGGCTTATTACTATATTGACCCACCAGGGAGTCTCTGTTATTTTGTTTTGAGGACGAATGGCCACAATTATATATATATATAATTGTGCTATATATAACATGTATATTAAAAATCTCAATTGTATATAATGCAGAATTAATGCAGACACTTTGAATGAGTAAACCCATGCTGAATATGGCTGTATGTGAGACATTGCTGTGTGCAAACTGGCTGCCTTGGTTCGCCCACTTTACAATTCATCCTGTGAAGCACTTTGAGAAGTCTCGTTGACGTGACAGGGCACTTATATCATATGCAAGGATTACTATTATTAGTAGTAATAGGATGGCAGGAGCAAAGAATGAGTTGCTGTAAAGTAATATGTTGAGGCCAGTTTGGAATGACTAGCCGGGGGAACTAATTAAAGTCTTCATTCGGCCAGAAATCATTGCGTTTTTACAACTAAAAAAGATTTCAGAATATCTAATCCTTCAAAAAAAAACACAGAAGCACTTCGTACCGAGTGAATGCTGAAACACCAGTTTGGTGCAAAGTATAAGAATGTACGGCAAACTCTTCTGAAGCCACCGAAGGATGTACCGAAGTTCTGAGAAAGAGTTTCTAGGTTCCCCGTCTTCTGGTTCAGGTCTTTCTCCAGCAGGGCCTTCTCTGGAGTGAGAGTGAGAATGAGAGTGAGAGTGAGAATGTGAATGAGAAGAGTTTGAGCGTGCGCCACCTGACCCACGTCTATTGCTTGGCTCTTCAGATGCATCCATCTGAATTTGAACCTCTCCTTCCTTGGAACATTGTGGTCTGTAGTCAGGAGTCCCAACTGGGTGTAGCATTGCACTTTCTCCAATAGATCCATTTAGTGCCAGAGAATGTTGCTGGCTAGTCCCCGAGTGCATTTCAGCAAATTCCTTCTGCATTTCAGATCCTCGCGCCTGATAACTGGTCTGTGCAGTGATCCAGAGATCTGCTTTGAAAGCTGCCTGTAAATTAAAAACCAAAACAATGCGTTAATTCCAACACTGAAATTGGTTTTAATATTTGTCGTTTGATGCTGTTTTGTTAATGGAAAAACTTAAACTGGACGGTCAACCAAACATGTTGCGAAGGGACACCAATGTAAATAATAATAATCCTTACATTTGATATAGCACTTTATCACATCATTGAGACATCTGAAAGCGCTTCACAGGATATACTGTAATGGAGTGTATTTTGTGGGCGAAACACTGCAGCTAATAGTGCACAGCAGTGTCCCACAAACCGCCATGGACTGAGCGACCAATTTTATTTGGGGGATTGTTGTCCAGGATGCTGGGAGAGAGAAACTCCCTTCTCTTTTCGAAAAGTGCCATGGGATCTTTAACGTCCACCTGAACCATCAGATGGGACTTAGCGTCACATCCAAAGGATGGCATGGAATGCATAAGGCAAACTGAGAATAATAAAGAAACTAAGATCAAAATGGAAATTGCCCTGTGAAAAGGGAATTTAGGGTTCTGTGGGACAATGCTGTGCTTAAATTGTTTTCTGCATTTGCTAACAAAAAAGTCACTGCATTTTACATTATATTCTGATATGTGCATTGGGACACCTTCCCGAAATGAAAGGCGCTATACCAAATGTTAGTATTATTATTATTTTAAAAAATAGAAGGAAAATTGTTTTTACTCAAGTGGACAGATTTTGGAATAATCTACCAAATAAAATAATTGGGATACAAAAAATGGGGTTATTTATAACCCATGTTGGGAGAAAATATGTGAAGGGTAAGTTTTTTTTAATAATTGTGACATTCCTTATGACTTAATTTGCTCACCAGGAAGTCATTTTAACTTTAAACAGACAAGAGAGTCTCTAAGAATAAGGAGACAATAACTTGAAAACAAGTGTGAGAACTTTGCAGTCTACAGATGGAGGACTAAACACACAAATGTTACCTGCAAACTCAGCCCTAACCCCCAAAAGTTATTTTGCTGTATAGCTTCCTCGAAAGCAAGTGAAATCTTCCAGCTTTGTAAACCAACAAAAGATTGTTATACGCTTCGCCAAAGAATGATCAGTTTATTAATCTAACTTTATTTAAAAAAAAGCAACATCAAAATACATTTAAATTTTATTATTGATGATTCTGTATACAGTTGAGCCCAGTTTTCCTTCCCATAACCCACCCTTTGCTTGGCTTCTCCCCACAGCAGATGGAAATGCTGCCTTTCCATTTTTCTCTATAATGCATTTAAGCATCAGATTTCTGTCCTATGATTAGCCCAATGCACTTTATTGGAGGTATTCCTCAATAAAAGCTTGTCAGCCTTCCCAACTCTTCCCTCCACAAGCTGCAGATCATTCAGAACTCTGCAGCTCGTGTTCTCTCCTGCACCAGGCTCCGTTATCCCAACACCCCCACCATCGCCCAGTTCCACTGGCTTCCTATCCTTCAGAAGATCGAGTTCAAAATTCTCATCCCCACCTTCTAGGCCCTCCACGGCCTTGCCCCCTCCTACCTCTCCAACCTGCTAACCCCTTATCAACCTGTCACTCAGCATGTCTACTCCATGGCCCCCGCCCGGCCCACCTCATCATTGGCAGTCAGGCCTTCAGCCTCTCTTCCCCCACCCTCTGGAAATCCATCCTACTTTCTCTTCGCTTCGCTCCCTTGCCTCCTGCAAGCCACGTCTTAAGACCCTCCTCTTCGACTAGTACCTTCGGCCAACCTCCTAGCCCCACCCTCCCACCTCCCTGATCCCAACGCTCCCCCCCTCCCACCTCCACTCGGGTCTTTATCCCTGTCTGATCAGTGCCTTGGGACGTCCTCCAAATGTGAAAAGCGCTCACAAATATAATTTTCTACTGTAACCAGCCCTCGCCCCCCCCCCATGTTAATTTGAGTCTCACCCTCTTCCCCCCCTTATTAACTTGAGTTTCTCCCTTCACCCCACCTTACCCACTTGGCCGCAGAAGGAAAAGGGTTTTACCCTTCCTCTTAAGGTTTCTGCTAGCATGCAGTTCCGTGGGGCCAGCAGCTCTGTGTTCGCTCATTCAATCAATCAGCCATTATTCAGGGTGTTTGACCGTGGAAGGGCAGACACATGACCATCAGAGATCAGCCATTTAACACCCTGACAGGTACACTTTGCAGAAGAGGTCACTCAATAGCAATCAGGAATGGGAATCCCGTTTGACATGGCAGCCATTAATCTATAAAGATTAATTACAGCTGAACCAAATCCTCTGTCCTCATCCGACATCTGCGTATGTGCATTTTCCTGCAGAGGTTGAAATGAAATGTGCACAAAATGTAAAGGGAAAAGTAGACAAACATTTGAGGCCCAAAATGCCACCTAAGGCTTCCCCCAATTCTACATGACCGTGAAGAGCAAGGAAAAAAAGTGTGTGGAATTTCGGGCCACGGCTCATTATGGTGCTGTGACAAGAAGTTACATTAGCTGAAGTGTCCAATTGTCCTGAACCAGCCCCGACTTCATCGAAGTTGAGTCGTGAGACAGAAATAAATAAAAACTAAACAGAGTATGTTGTAAACAGGAAAGATCGTTTTACAAGGGCATTGTGCGCCTTGTTAACAGTTTAAGAATTGTGGAGTCCTGTAGCTCAGTGGTTAGAGCACTCGCTTTGCAAGCGAGAGACCTGAGTTCAACAACAGATCCCACAATAAAAGTAAATGGGGACTGTTTTCGCTTCCCAAACAAAAGTGGGGATTGCGTTTATTTCAGAGCGAAGGGCTGAGGATACATTAAAATAAAGCACATGTTGTATATATCCCCCCCCACCCCACACCGCCCTCCCCTATATTTTTCTCTCTCGACAACAACAACAACTTGCATTTATATAGCGCCCTTCACATGGGGCAGTGTCTCATAGTTCTATCTCTTTCTCCCCCCCCACTTCCTCCCTCTCCCCCACCCCCTCCCCCACTTTCTCTTTCTCTCTCCCTCCCCCTCCTCTCTCCCCCCCACCCCCTTCCTCCCTCTCCCCCCCACTTCCTCCCTCTCCCCACCCCCTCCCCCACTTTCTCTCTCTCCCCCACTTTCTCTTTCTCTCTCCCCCCCCCCCTTCCTCCCTCTCCCCCCCACTTCCTCCCTCTCCCCCACCCCCTCCCCCACCCCCACTTTCTCTCTCTCCCCCACTTTCTCTTTCTCTCTCCCCCCTCCTCTCTCCCCCCCACCCCCCTTCCTCCCTCTCGCCCCCCACTTCCTCCCTCTCCCCCACCCCCTCCCCCTTACTAAACCAGGGTGCGGGTCAGTGCCAGTCAAAGGAAACCATGGCAACTGGGCAGTCAGAGTGCAGGTGATTGTGAAGCCCCCGCTCAGCCCCGCTGTGGGGGGGGTTACAGGGCAGTGCAGTGACTGTTAAGCCGCGGCCGGGCCTACCTGGTCCTGTGAGCCCGGGCCTTTCCCGGCGGCGGGGCCCGGCGGCGCTGCTCCTCTTTCCGGCCATCTCACAATCGGCCCGGCCCCCCCCCACCGTGGCCGCAGCCTCTCCCCCACCCCCGGGATTTGGGTCCAAAACGATGTGAAAAGAAAACGAGTCATAAAAAGGAGTCGACTTCAGGCCGTTTCGGTTCCCCGCCTCACGTCGTGACGTCACGGCACGTCACGTCAGGCCGGCGCGATGACGTAGGGCCGTTACCATGGCTCCCGGGTTCAGCCGCGGCCGACAGGGAAAGGTGGGATTTTTTTTCTCGCGCTCTTTTATAAGTCGTACAAACTTGCCTAAGTCGTACCTCTGCCCCACCCCCCCCCCACCCCCATCCACCTCGAGAGTTGACACCATTGTTTGTATTCAAGAGTTCACGCTGCGCAGGTTTGACGTGAGCCTCGGCGTCAGAACAGCCCGGAAATGTTCGCCAAAAAATGGCGGAGAGATTGGCGGGAATTGCTTGGGGTCGGTTGGCGCTATTGAGAGAGATGCGTTTCGTGGAGGAACCAGGAGTAAAACCGTCGCCGGATATTTGCTGAGCGCGTTTAAAAATACTAAAAATCTTCACGTGAATAGCACAGCGCTTAATAATATATATTAAAAAAATAACCCTGGCATTTGATTCAGCGCCTCATCACGTCTTCGAGGCGTCTCAAAGCGCTTCACACAATATACTGTAAAGTGAATTGACTGTATATTTTGTGGGCGAAACGCGGCAGCACAGCAGCGTCCCCACAAACAGCCGTGGATTGAAGTGACCAAATTATTATTGTTTTTTATTCATGAGGGATTATTATCAGGCGGGTGTGTGGAGTAAGGAAACCTGCCCAAGGTTTCGCCCTGGATTCACTTACCAAGAGTTCACACGGGAGCTCAGTGTCGACCGGGCGTCTCACTGGGGGGGGGGGGGGGGGGGCGAAGCTGATTTCCTACTCGCGTTGCTTCCGCCATCCAAACGCTCCCCGCACCTCGCATGAGCGACTGGAGCCCCTCCCCTCACAACAGCAGTGTCGAGCAAACAGCACAAGAGGCCCGGGGCTTAGTACATTGTGTAGGTGGGCAGCAGAAGGGGAGGGCGGGGGGGTGGTGGTGTTTGTAGTGGATTCCTCTGAAAAAGTGCGGCCACGTATTTCTATTGGCCCAGGACATAACTCATAGTTTGCATAAGTCATATTAAATTTGTGGTCCCAACTGACACAACTTATGTGAGATTTACTGTATTAATAAAAATAAATAAATTGCATTTGGTACGGCGCCTTATTATGTCCGACGAGACTGTCAAAGCGCTTAAAGGACATTTACTATAAAGTACATTGATAGTGTAGTTTGTGGCCGAATGCAGCAGCTGATTTGCATCTTTCAGTGTCCCACAAATAGCCATGGAGTCAGTGACCAATTTTATTTGGGGAATTTGTTGGCTGGGAGAAACTCCCTTCTCTTTCCAATTAGGGCCGCGGGATCTTTAGCAACAACAACTTGCATTTATATAGCACCCTTCATGACAGGGTAGCATCTCAGAGCACTTACCTGTGGTGGAGCCAAACATTCGCCTGACGTTCACCTGAACAGGCAGACGGGACCTCAGTTTAACGTCTCATCCAAAGAACGGCACCTCCGACAATGCAATACCCCCTCAGCACTTACATTGAAGTGTCAACCTAGACTGTGAGCTCAAAGTCTCTGATGTGTGGCTCAAACCCACAACTTTCTACCAACTGAGCCAGGGTGACACCTGATATCTACATAATGACAAGAACAACAACATCTTGCATTTATATATAGCGCCCTTCCCAAATCATGCCTACTAAAATATATCACAGAGATACCAATTGATGTTACAGGCTGGTATTAGTGTACTGATGACAAAGATGCCTCAAGAAGCCTTGAATACTACTCGTGATTTTCTCATCCTTCGAAATATATTGGATGGTCTTCGGGGACATTAGTACGTAATGTGAGCATTGTGTAATTAATTTTGTTTTGTAAATAAATTAAAAGAAAATACTACAATTATGATAACATTTTCAATAATTTTCTCACGAATAACAGCCCGCCAATCTACAATGTACACCTGTGTTAGACCAGGGTGACTGCCTTAATTTGAATTATGAGAACACAGTTGTAATTTCATTAAAAAAAAATGATTGATTAAATTTCTGCGGGCTGATAATTCAAGATAATTATTTTTGCCAACAAAGTACACAGTCAATCCACTTTAAATATATTCTGTGAGGCATGACCTGATAAGGCACTATGTCAAATGCAAGGTTTATTATTATTATTTTCTGTTTACGAAATATTTGAACAATATCACAATTAGGATTCCTAATTTTTCAAGAGATAATTGATGACTATTCACACTTATTTTACAGCTCATTCTTTGGATTTTAATATACAGTATATCGCTTTGGAAATCATAACCGAATAACAGAACAAAACCAAATAACAATAACTAATGTAGTTTAGATAATAATAATAATAATAATAATACTGCTTGTATTTGATATAGCACTTTATCAGGTCTTCGTAACGTCTCAAAGCACTTCACAGAATATACTGTGTATTTTGTGAGCAAAATGCGGCAGCCAATTGCGCACAGCAGCGTCCCACAAAGAGTCGTGAATTGTGTGACCAAATTATTATTTTTTTATGGAATTGTTATCCCCGGAAAAGCGATTCGCCAATCGACTAACAACCGGGTTCCTACTTACTGCACGGTAAACAGAGGCGTGCAGAGTAAGGGAACTTACCCAACATTTCGCCCTGCCGGGCATCAAACCCGGATCCTCTCGCATGCAAGTCGAGTGCTCTAACCACTGAGCTGCAGGACTCCAAAACACGTTAAAACTTAGATAGTAAAGGTGCTATAACAATGCAAGTTCATCATTCACAATATTGCTTCCCCACCAGGAGATGGCACCACTATATCAGTTATCATATCCAGCCCTTGTTTGGGAAACCATCAAAAGCAAAATTAATTCTGGGGCAAACATTTCTAATTTCCTCCCTTTTCCTCTTTCCTTTCTTAGCGTAAATTACAGTTTTGGTGGACTTCCTTTGGTCCATTTGAACTGAACACCACGTCTCACTGTCTTCATCACAGCATCCAGCGGTTTCTTAAACGTCAGCCAGATTGTACCGGTTGTTGATTATCCTCTGTGTAGAGAATTATTCCAGAAAGTTGTGCTAAAATTGCTCTTCATAATTCTGGACAAATTGTCCTCAGTTTTGTAAGTGAAAGAATTACTTTACCCACGGAGAATTTTATGTACGTTTAAATATCCCTACTGAGACAGTCTTTTGTTTCCAACATTAAACTTAATAATCTTAATATTAGAGCTAGGCCATTTCAGAGTGAAATTTTAGAAGACAGTTTTTCACCCAAAGGGTAGTGGAAATCTGGAACTTTCTCCCCTCCCAAAAGGCTGTGGATTATGGCTGGATCCATTCACATCTTCAAGACTAAGTGGATAGCTATGTTAGGTCAGGGTATTAAGGGATACGGGGCAAGGGTTGGTAATTGCACTTAAAGTACGGATCAACCATGATCTTATAGAATGGCGGAACAGGATCCAGGGGCTGAATGGCCTACTCCTGTTTCTATGTTTATGTTAAACTTTGTCCTTTAAGTGGAATCAACATACTTTCCATGTTATTGTTACTGTTATCTGGTCATAGATCTCTTTCACCCTCTTTATTTACTGTTTAATTTCCTCTTCCTTTAGATGAGATGTTACATCAAAGTCCCACAGGCAAATGTTAAAGGATCCCAACGCATCATTTCAAAAGAGAAAGGACTTTCCCCAGTGACCTGGCCGACAGTCTCTCAAATAAAAATTGGTCATTCGTTTGTGGGACATTAATATGATGTCCTGCAGCGTTTGCCTACAAATACAGTTACTCCATTTTACAGCAAATCCTGAGTTTCAAGATCTCCTTCCGACATGATAAGGCGCTATATCAAATGCAAGGATTATTATTATTTCATTATTGTTCTACAGTTACCCCTTATACCCCACCTTTGCTACGAGTTTCCTTCTGGTGCATATGTGTTTTGCCTGCACTTTACGCAGTTCTACTTTGTATATTTTCCTACTGCTGATCTCCTCCATGGTCAGGCCTCTAGGGCTGCCGTTGCATAGAAACATAGAAACAGGAGTAGGCCATTCAACCCCTTGAACCTGTTCCACCATTCTATAAGCTGATCTGTACCTCAACTCCAATTCCCCGTATACTTTGCCCCATATCTCTTGATACCGTCCTAACAAATATCTGTCAACCTCAATCTTGAAAATGTGAATAGATCCAGAATCAATAGCCTTTTGGGGGACAGAGTTCCAGATTTCCACTGCCCTTTGGGTGAAAAACCACCTCCTGATTTCACTCCTAAATTTCTAAGCTCTGATTTTAAGGTTATGCCCCCCTTGTTCTGGATTCCCCACTAAAGGAAATAGTTTCTCTGTAGCTACCCTATCGAATCCCTTTATTAATTTAAAACCTCAATCAGATCACACCTCAACCTTCTAAATTCAAGGGAATACAGAGTTTATGCAAAACCTGTCATCGTAATTTAACCCTTTAAACCCTTGTATCATTCTAGTGAATCTGTGCTGCACCCCCTCCTGAGCCAATATGATTCCTGAGGTGTGGCGACCAAAACTGAGGGGATCTGACCAGACAGTATAAGTTGAAGCATCATTTCCTCTCCTTTATATTCCTCTCCTATATATTGAAGCAATTTCCTCCCCTATTTATTTTAATAACCTTGGGTGGAATGTATCAGGTGCTGGAGATTTGACTATCTTGAGTCCCGTTATTTTCTCCATTACCATTTATTTTATTTGTATTAAATCCATTTAGTTGCCCTTGATATCTCTTGCAAGTTGTTTTTCTCATGTTCCCTTTTTTACACCTCTTATTACTTTCTTTGTATGGCTTTGTTGCTTCTTACCTCATTTGTTGACCATGATTGTTGAACTACCCCAAGTGGAGCTTTTGTGTTTTAGGGGTATGTACTGGTTTTGTAATGTACCAAATTCTTCCTTGAATGCTTCCCACTGTATGTCCATGGTTTACTCATTACTCAGTTCAGCGCAGTTTACCATAGTTAAATAATTTCTCATCCCTTCAAAGGTTGCCTTACTTAAATTTAAAATCTTGGCTTGTGACTGACTCTCCCTGCTCCCTCTCAAACTTTACATCAAATTCAATCATACGACGGTCACGAGTTGCAAGACTGTCAGATTGTTCGTTACTCATCATCACCAAATTTACAGTATGGCTTGTTTCCCTCGTCAGTTCTAAAACATATTGTTCCAGAAAACTGTCCTGAATACGTTCCAGAAATCCGTTGCCTTGCCAACTTGAGCTATTCTGCTTCTCCCTGTCCATGTTGCAATCAGAGCCTCAGAAGCCGGTGCCAATGTCTGGATACAGTACAAACACAGTAAAAGGGATCAATCCTCATCACCAGGTGGACATTTGTTTCAATCGTAGCCAATAAAACTGTCACTTTAAATGCAGGACTTGTGCGCCAACAATGATTCATCATCAAAGCAGCTACTGCAGATATAGATTCCTTTACTCCAGAGACCTTAGGACTATCTTGGGCTGGGGACTGAGGAGTGAGAGGCAGGAAAGGGAAAGATGTGAGTTGCTGAATGAGGGCGTGTGTGGGGGGGTGGGGGGGGGAGACGCTCACATTTATCCTGTCCTTTTTTTTTGCAGTGGGGGTAAGAAATGGAACACTCTCCTTCAATCCCTCTGCCTTGCCCCTTCATTCCCCCATCTTCAGGTCGCATCTGAAGACCTTCCTCTTCGACCTTGGTCACCTCCCCCCTCTCGACGGTGTGCTCCGCCACTGCCAAGCGCTCTGGGACACTACCCTGGGTGAGGGGCGCTGTGTAAATGTGTGTTGTTATTGTTGAAATGACCCAATGTGCCAGGGGTATGTGAAAATAGACTTTATTTTAGTAGAAACATTTCTGTGGAAAGGAAAACTTGACAGAAGTAACAGCAGCACTTGACCTGTGGGGACCCCCCCACCCCATGGCTCAGTCACCTTTCACCCTTTGAACTAAACCACAATTGCGTCCTGGCTTTAGAGCTGTGCAATCCAGCGCACGTTCAGTATTCGTGCATCTCTGGCTGGCCTCTCGCACAACCCCCCAGCCCCCACCCCCTCGCTCTTGCACATGCCGGCATTTTGCAGTTGCCTCTGTTCTCCTGTGAACACTTGAGTCTTGCTGCTTGTTTTAGAGGCGGCAACGAATGGAGATTAGCAATCCCACGATGGTCACTGAGGCTAACAAAACATCAGTGTATAACGTTGGCCCTGAGTGGGCAATGCTGCGTCTGGCAGGCTGCGGGCAGTTGTGCGATGTACAGCAGATAATGGGCGGACACTGTGAATGTGGCTGCTGCTGCCTCACTGCAGCTCATTGTCAACTTGTTCTGAAGTGGGTGTTAGCCACATACTAACCGCTCGAGCAAAATCTGTCTGAACCCAACAAAGCGCCCAGAGGGACCGTCTTGAACCGGAGGCATTCTTCACACCAGTATAATCTGCAATATTTTTCACTTGCAGCAAATGGCCGAGTATCAAAAGGCTTTGCTGCAGGGCACCCTCTGCACCAGTGATTTTTCTTATTCCATTTAAGAATAAATAACAGGTTTGGCTCCTCACCTCTACCCTGGGGAGAAGACTTGTTTGCCCTGGGGTTTAGCCCCCTCGTCCGGGGGGGGGAATTGCTCCTTTCACCCTGTGAACTAGGCCGCTGGGGATTAGCACCTCACTCAGGGAATTCTTTCGCATCCTGGGGATCAGCCCCTATCAGACTGCAGACCGCCCCCACTCTTTGGAACTCCATCCCACATTCCCTTCGCCTCGCTCCCTCGCCTCCTTCAAGGCACGTCTCAAGACCCTCCTCCTTGACCGTGCCTTCGGCCACCCTCCTACCTTCCCTGCCCTCCACCCTCTCTTACTCCTCCCAGCTCAGGTCCAAATCCCTGACTGTCCAGCGCCTTGGGACATCCTCCCGACGTAAAAGGCGTAAATTTCATTTTGTATTGTATTGTCCCCTCACCCCCAGGGGCGGCTGTTCCCGTTTACTGGATCCCAGCCTTTTGAACAGTTTCTTTCCTTTTGAGAAGAAACCTCTTTTCTTCTTGTTGCCGTTGTGCCTTTCACCATCGTCCGCCCAGTCGTGTTGGTCACCGTCCACGCCGCTGTCCACGCTGCCGTGCCGCTGGCTGTCCGGGCTGAGGGCAGGGTCTGGGGAATAAGCGCTCGTGCTCACTGCGTGCTCACTGAGCCCGGCTAACTGTGCATCAGCCCAGATCCTCTACGGAAGAAGAGTCAGAAAATGACCATCAAAACCAGAGAGTTGGAAGATTAACAATCAAACATAATAATAATAATCCTTGCATTTGATACAGCGCCTTATCACGTGGTTGAGACGTCTCAAAGCGCTTCACAGGATATACTGTGAAGTGAATTGACTGTATTTTGTGGGCGTCTTGCCACAGTGTGGCCTTCTCAATGCCAACTAACAAGCGCAGTCAAATGCTGATCTTCAAATGAGTGGTGCACAGACAGAATCATCAACCCCATGTGATGATTGCAGTCATCTACAGCAGAACAAACAGAGAGTGAGTCAGAGCTTGTACACACAGCAAGGTAATGAACGCGAGAGGGACCTAATCACAGTTAATTATACAGAGGAGGATTTTTTAAGAAAGTCCTTGTAACTAATGGAAGAGGGACTTACTCCCAGATAGCTGTACAGAGCATGTTAACAATAATGCAAGGATTGCATTTGGTCTAGGCTTGATTACATTGTCAAGATGTTTCAAAACGCTTCACAGGATTTTTACTATGAAGTGCAGTGACTCTGAACGCAGAAGCCAATTTGAGCACGTAATGCCCACAAACAGCCATGGACAGAATGGCCAATTTTATCTGCGTTTGTCAGAACACCAGGAGAAACCTTTCGAATATCATGGCATCATTAACGTCCACCTAAAGAACAGGCAGATGGGAGCTTAGTTTGTTTAATCCAGAGCATGGAGTGCTGATAGTACACCGCTTCCCCAGAACTGAACTGGAGTGCTCGACAATATGCAGCCTGAACTCAAAATCGTCTGATCCATAGGCAAAAGAAAGTGCTACCAAATGAACCAAGTTGACACCTAGATCATACAGCAGGTATATAGTGGGAGAGACCTAGTCACAACAATTTATGCACAGCAGCTAACTAACAGGAGAAATCAATCCTAACAACAACAAAATTACATTGTGCAGCGTCTTTCACATCAGGAGGATGTCCCAAGGCACTGGACAATCAATGTTTCAGACCGGAGCTGGGGGTCGGGATTGGGGAGAGTGGAGGGCGGGGGGTGGGGGGGGAGGAGGGTGACTGAAGGCACGGTCGAAGAGGAAGGTCTTGAGATGGGTCTTGAAGGAGGCAAGGGAGGGGGCGAGGTGGTGGGACTGCAGGAATGAGTTCCAAAGGGTGGGGGCAGAGTGGCAGAAGGCCCGCCTGCCAATAGTGGGGCAAATGAGGTGGGGAACATGAAGCAGGCCAGAGCCCACTGAGCGAAGGGAGCGAGTAGGATGGTAGGGGATTAGGAGCTCGCAGAGGTAGTGGGGGGAGTGAGGCCATGGAGGGCTTTGAAGGTGAGGACCAGAATCTTGAACTGTATCCTCTGTGATGGGAAGCCAGTGGAGTAAACCTTGTTATACACATCAGGGTAATTTGAGAGACAGAAAGAGACCTTGTCATAGTTAATTATACACAACAGAGTAAGTAGTAGGTGACAAAGGCTTAGTGACAAATTTATATAGAGCAGAGGAGCTAATGGATGAGAGACCCGAGTCACTGATACTTTTTCAAAAGCAGATTAACCAGATGCAGCCTTAACTGTGCCTTAATTGCCAACTAGTCAAGACCAGTTAACACATAAAAGTAACTAGCAGGAGACCTACATAGTCGCAGCTAGTGTTAATGGTAACAATCTTGAGTCTCTGACAGATCGTTTCCACCACAGGTTATTAAAAGAAGTAAATTGTAGATACTTTAATTATAACCTTTCAAAGCTCAAAACATCTGGGAATTATGCCAGCGGAGAGGGGAGGTAGCAAATCGTCACACTGGATGAAAGTAAAGGACAAAACAAGATACCCCAGGCCTACGTTCGTCAGTTATGGAGACATTTCAGGAATCCAATATCAGGAGCAGAGTAACTGAGCATCGCAATGAATGCATAAATCAGGGAGAGTCAACACGTTTTATGAAAGGTAGATTGTGTCTGTCAAACCAAATGGAGTTCTTTGACAGAACCACAGGGTGATAAAAAGAGAATCGATGGATGTAAATACGGATTATCAAAAGGCATTTGATAAGATGCCACATAGAGATAACCAGCGACAATTGAGGCATATGCAATTGTAGTCAATTGCATGGCATTGTTGGGAAATTGCTTGCAAAGCCAGGAGACAGAGAGTTCAATAAGCGTGCTCTCTGATTGTCAGGCAGCTATAAATAGCTTCCCCCAGTGCTTTTTAGCTATATATAAATGACCCAAATATACAAATATATGAAAGTATTTCTAAGTTTGCTGATATCACTGTGTTCGGAGGGCAGCACAACTTTGAAAAGGGACATGAAGTCAGTGGGCACAATTATGGTAGATAGAGTTATAGAATAATAATAATCCTTGCATTTGATACAACGTTTTATCATGTCTTTAAGACATATCAAAGCCCTTCACAGAATATACTGTAAAGTGAATTGACTATATTTTGTGGGCGAACCGTGGCAGCCAATTGCACACAAACAGTCGGGGATTGAGTGATTTATTTATTTATTGAATGGATTATTACCCCCGGAAAAGCGATCCGCCAATCGACTAACAACCAGGTTCCTACTTACTGCTAGGTAAACAGTGTTTAGGTGTGGAGTAAGGAAACTTGCTCATCAAGGGATAAAGGAGCAAAGAATTTGGGGATCCAGGTCCATAAATCATAAAAGTCTAGTTTGCAGGAGCAAACAGGCTATGGGACACCTGCCTTGAAACAAAGGATCTGAGTTTATAAATAGGGAATTGATGCTCCAGTTATGTAGAAAGCTGATCAGACTGTACTCAAAGCAGATTGAGTTCGACATATGCATACCATCTATGCATGGAAAATGCAACACCTCACATAAGCTTTGATATTAATGTCGTATGAGGTATCTAAGTGTGCCGAGATGCCGTCCAGCGTGTAGGGGGCTATATAAATGCAAGTGGTTGTTGTACCTTATCAAAGGGTTGAAAGTTCATACATAGAATATCCCACCACATTTCCTTCTCTGTGCTCTGATACATATACAAATGATAGGGCATACAGCAGCTGGCACACACAGTGGGATAACTAGGATAGAGCCAATCCGAACTAAATGTAGACAGCACAGTGGAAGTGGAATTCGGTCACAGCTGCTTATCACTGAAGTAAAAATAGTTAGAAAGAGCTTCTTACAACTAGTTATACTTAGTCTGTAACTAGCTGAGAATAAAGGCTTATTCAGAGCTGGTTATGCATAGCAGGATAACTAACAGTAGCTACATAGTCAAGTCATACTCTCTACATAGCCTAATTATAGTAGGCTATACACAGATGTGTAACTCCTGCTTACATACAGTATTACTGCATTTACACAGCACACAAGAAATTTCAGCCAGTGCAAAGGACACAGCTACAAACATCCCCAGCCGCTGTGAACAATCACACACTCCACATCCACTGATTTCAGGAGTCTTATTCCAGACACGTACCATGTCACAAAAATAAGCAACGAATCTCTTCCCTTTTATTCATCTGATATTCAGTGCGGCTCACAGTTTGACCTCAGCGTCTGTTGTCAAACATCCTGACGCCCCTCTCCCTCCCCCCAGACTGGTGGATATTCCCTCGAACTTTGCCCTTTGCACTGTTTGCTGCAGAAATGCGCCTGTGCAGTTCCGCAGTCAAATTAGCAGCGGCTGAAACTGCATCAGGATCTTCATTCTCACACTTACAGGGCTCCTGGTGAAACTACTGCTTGAACTGAACCGTCTTCCTCTGGTGCCGTGGAGAAAGTGAAGAGACACAAACATTGAAACAAGAGCAGAACAAGTCAGCAAAGAGTAGCTACTTTCCTACAGGTGCTGTGTGCCAACCAGGGGAGCGCTGGGCACGTTGTCAACACGGGGAGTGCTGGGCATCTTACCAACCGGGGTAGCACTGGGTTACTGACCGGGCAGTTCCTAACGTGAACTCCAGCACTGAATACTGCAGTGTGCTCTGGAATCATGTCGAATTTTATTGCACAGGAGGAGGCCATTCCTCCTGGCCTGAGCCAGTTCCCTGTAAGGGCTCTTTGTTTTGTACCTTCCCTGCTCTTTCTCAATAGTTTTAAAAAATATTTTTCTATTTCAAATGTTTGTCTGATTCCCTTTCTAAAGGCTATTACGGAGTCCGCTTCAACCCCAGTTTTTGTTAGGGACTCCATGTTGTCATCACCATCTGTATATGGAACCCTCTCCCTCAATCCCTCTGCTTTGCCCCCTCTGTCCCCTTTTTCAAGACCCGCCTGAAAACCTTCCTCCCTGACCGTGCTTACAGCCACCTCTCCCCCCCACCCCCACCAGCTCGGAGACAGGCTCCGCTACTGTTAAATGCTCCGAGATGCTACACTGCATGGAGGGCGCTAAGTGCAAGTTGTGTATATAATAAAATCTCCCAATATCTTCCCATTTCAGTAATGCTCTTAAAAGCTGTGGACTCGCTGACAAATGGAAAGTTTTTCCCCTATAGAATCATAGAGTTTTACAGCACAGGAGGAGGCCATTCGACCTATTGTGCCTTTGCCAGCTCTTTGAAAGACCTATCCAATTAGTCCCACTCCCCCGCTCTTACTGCATAGCCCTGCAAATTCTTCCTTTTTAAGTACCCATCTAATTATCTTTTGAAAGCTATTATTGAATGTGTTTTTACCACACGTTCAGGCAGTGCATTCCAGACCATAGCAACTCTCTGGGTAAAAAAAAATCTTCTGATTAATATTGCCACCACCTCCTCTCCTCTTTTTCCTTCCCCTTTTTTTCTATCCCCCTGAATGCATTGGAGCCAGGAATGTTAAGCTCCCATTCCTGCCCTTGTTTGAGCCAGGTCTCCGTTATTGCCCCTTTATCATAACCCCACATGGCAACTTGAGCCGCAGCTCACCAACCTGATTTGTCACACTCCCTGCATTTACACACATGCACTCCAAGAACCCCTCTCGCTTGCGAGGGGATTGCTCTAACCACTGAGCTACAGGACTCCAAACAGGATACTCTATTCTAAGGACGTTTGTCTCTCCCAGGTTTCTCTTCCTGGACATTATATCCTGGTTTCACCCCCCACCAAGTTTAAACCCTTGTCCACAGCTCTAGCCTCCTGCGAGGACATTGGTCCCAGCTCTATTCAGGTGCAACCTGTCCACCTTGTGCAGGTCCCACCTGCCCCAGAAGTGGTCCCATTGCTCCAGGAACCTGAAGCCCTCTCTCCTGCACCATTTAATCAATTACACATTATCTTGTTTAATCTGTTAGCATTAGCCTGTTATTCCTATACTCACGAGCAGAGATTACCGCCTTTGAGGTCCCGATCTTCAGTTTCCTCTCTAGCTCCTGAAACTCTGCCTGTACGACCTCAACCCTTTTTCGTGCTATGTCATTGGTTCCAACGTGGACCACAACTTCTGGCTGATCCCTTTCCTCCCCCCGCAGAATGTTCTGTGATATCCTGGTCTGGCTCCAGGGAGGCAACACACCAAGAGAGACTCACGTCTGCAGTTGCTGAAATGCCTGTCTATCCCCCTGATCAACGAATCCCTAATGATAATTGAATTGCTATATTTCCCCTGTGTGGATTTCCTTTTGACTGCCCTCCCCCGCAGTGTCGACACCCTCACCAGCACAGCAAACCGGCTTCCAGAAAATCCAAATCATTCAAAACTCTGCCGCCCGCATTCTTACCCGCACGAAACTCCGCTCCCCGATCACCCCAGTCCTTGTCAGACTGCACTGGCTGCCTATCCCAGAGAGGATCGATTTCAAGATCCTCACCCTTGTGTTCAAGTCCCTGCACTCCTCTGCACCCCCCCTACCTTTCTGACCTCCTCTCTCCTCAAAACAGTACCCGTTGCCTCCATTCCTCCAGGTCTGGCCTCCTCCTCCCTCGAGTCCTCGCTCCACCCTCGGCTGCCGTGCCACTATGCCCCGAGGCTCTGGAACTGCCTTCCTCACTCCCTTTGTCTCGCTCCCTCCCTTCCCATTTTCAGGTCTCGGCTGAAGACCTTTCTTTTTGACCGCGCCTTTGGTCACCTTCCTCCCCCTCCCCCCGGCTCGGTCCCGTAAAGCGCTCTGAGACGCCGTCCAGCGTGGAGGGCGCTATATAAATCCAATTTGCTGTTGCTGTTGTTGTTGCGAGTGTCGCTCTCTCAGAGGATTTCTGCACTACCTGTCTGTGTTTCCTACCATACCGGGTGGCCACCCACTCACTCTCCTCCTGAACTCGCTGTGGCTGCGGGGTGACCACCTCCTGAAACGTGCGATCCTTGAAACGTTACGCTTCCCGTATGCACTGCAGTGACACCAGCTTCTCCTCGAGCTCAGACACCCTGAGCTCGAGGTCGAACAGCCGGTGGGGGCACGTACTACACATGTGTTTGTCCAGGGCACACAAAGAGTCCTGGAGCTCCCACATGGCACAGGATGCGCATGCAACGAGTCTCAGCTGTCCTGCCACTCTCCCTGAAGCAGAAGTATTTATTATTGAGCTCATTTTATTTCATGTTTATTTATTGATTGAAAGCACTTATTCATTTACTTATTTATTTTTATTTATTGACTGATTTTTATTTACTTAACGCTACTGGTTAGGTTTTATCCCTTGCCTTTTATTTATTGATTTTTTTTGTTTAGTTCAGTAACCCCTTAATCCATTATAGCGTTACATAATCGAGTATAAATAAGCAATTTTGCAGCTTTTGTTCCTCATTTATGCCAGTTGGCACCTACTTAGCACCTGCTTCCCCCAGGAATTTTGCTGTTGGCTAGGTGGGAGATTTGAAAATTAGCGCCTCCGTGCCTCTCCCACGCTGGACTTCACTCTCCAACCTCCCTCAAAAAGGCTCAAAGAAACATAGAAATAGGAGGAGGCCATTCAGCCCCTCAAATCTGTTCTGCCATCTATAAGATTATGGCTGATCTGTACCTCAAGTCCAATTACCTGCCCTTGCCTCGTATCCCTTAATACGCTGACCTAACAAATATACTCTGACCTAACAGGGCTTCCTCCTGCCCTGCGTTCTCTTGCTGGCCTTGTTTCTCTTGTACACCAGTGGCTCCCATCTACACACTCGCCGGCTATATATCAAAACATCTCCATAAAGTCCCTCAAACGTTTGTTCTACTGAAAGCAATCCAGTTTCTTCTCTGGTTCCTGCTCAATAAAACAAGCTTTCCATCTCTGCTAGAATTCCACAATAGCTTTTAAAAAAGCAGCTGTGATTGAGGTCTGTTTAACCTTATGGTGTTTGCACTGTGTGACCTTCCACCTCTTCACCTTGTGACTAGCAGGGGGAGCACCACTCTGCCCGCACATCCTGCCATCTCACCAAGTCTTGCCGCTCAGCAGAAGCCCCCGCTCTCGCTCGCTCGGAACAATGTTGTTGATGTAAAACTTGAGCCTGGTTGCATCAGTGGATACTTTAAACGCTCCGAGACGCCATCCGGCGTGAAGGGCGCTATATAAGTGCAATTTGTCGTGGTGGTGGATGCGAGGATGATATCTTACGTGGTGTGAAGCCTGGGAAAGGGGTAGCGGTGCTCTGGAGACCGACGTGTCAGTGTAACGAGTGTGTTCAGTGTATTGGGGGATGCCAGTATACGCAGTGTAAGGAGCGTACTATAGAGGCAGTGAATAGGTGTAAAGAGCCCAACAATGTGAGGTGATCGCCAGTGGGAGGCAGTGTCAGTGAGGTCTGCAAAGTGTAGTCAAGTGGGAATCCAACAGGTTTGCGGTGTGATCTCTCCTTGGTGTCTCTTCCCGTACAGACGCTTGCTGAGCTCTCGCTCCCTATTCCACTCTGCTCAATTCCACTCTCCCTTTGCTGACTGTCACACTGCAAGACACTTTACTCTGTACCTCTCGTTCTTCTCTCTCTCTCTCGCGCTCTATGTCTCCAATCGTTTCACTTGTGCCCTGCCCCTGCCCCAGTCAGCATTCCTCCTCTTCTTGGACTGCAAAGTGCACCGTGACCTCCAGTCAGTGCCATCACATCACATTAAGGGAAGTCACTGAGCAGCTTTGCAGTGTAAGTGTGAGGAGCTCAGAGAGCTGTAAATGCACAGACAAAATAAAGATGTAATTCTGCGCATTCTACCTCTGCCTCAGGAGAAAGTTATCAGCTCACCGGTCTTTCTCTGTTGGCCACAGGGTGCAGCATGGGTGATGTCTTGGGCTCGTTCTCTGGGTGCACCTCCAGGAAGTTGGATGGCACCAGTCCGTGCTGCTCGTTCAAGTTCCCCTGCCAGGCGCAAAGCAATGTCACACGAGGCCAATACCGTCACGCGCCATCATGCCTGGTCTGCACTCAGCTACTGGAGGCAAAATGTGTGCGCGCGTGTGTGCGTGTGGGGGCGGGGAGGGTTGCACGTGGGAAGGTTGCTTGTGGTGGGGGAGGGCTGGAGGTGGTAGCGTTGTGGTTGTGTGAGGTCCACTGGTGTCACATAGCGACTCACTGGGCCATGCGGCTGTACTATTGGGACACAAACATTTTTGTGCAACTCTTTGACTCAGTCAGGCCATGGCTGAACAGACTCACGTTATAGAAACCATCTTCATCCATGTCCCCATAGACAGTGATGATATCCCCAGCACTGAACGTCAGCTCAGCCTGTGATAGAAAACAGGACAAAGGTATTGTTCTCAGTCAATGATCCAGAGTTCCCATTACCTGCCCTTCTGTCTTTTACGCCTCTTAATGAGAACACATTCTCACTTGTTCTACTTCTCTATTGAACTTAAATCAATGAATTCTTGTAAATCCTCAGGAAACAAAAGCATTTCCCACTGAACACAGTTGTAAACGAGGATGTAAACCTTTAGTTCTATATCCTGGTCCTCACCTTCAAAGCCCCCCCATGGCCTTGCTCCCACCACCTCTGTGACCTCCTAAATCCCCTGCCATCCTACTCGCTCCCTCCGCTCAGCCTGCTTGACATCCACTGCCTCGCTCGCCCCACCATTGGCAGGCAGGCCTTCTGCCACTCTTCCCCCATCCTCTGGAACTCCATCCTGCAGTCCCTCTGTCTCACCCCCTCCCTTGCCTCTTTCAAGGCCTATCTCAAGAACCTCCTCTTTGACCGTGCTTTCGATCACCCTGCTTCCCATCACTGCCCTCCAATCTCCTCGATCCTAACCTCCAGCTCAGGTCCGAAACTCTGACTGTCCAGCGCCTTGAGAAGTCCTCCCGACGTGAAAGGCGCTTGACACATGTAACTTTGTTGTTGTTGTTGCTGTTATATCCCTGTCCCTCAGAGTGGGACACCCAGTGCATTTCACAACACAATAGTGCAGGAACTCTGCAGGTCATGGGCTGTTATTATAGGTCAGTCTCCCTGATGGTACAGTGTGTGAGCCACACAGAGTAGAGCAGGGATGGCCAACTTGTGGCCTGTGGGCCGCATTACGCATGGATAAAATAGTCACGCAAGCCATCCCTTGAGCAGAGGATCGCAAGCTGAAATCTGTATTGAGTTAATGATATCAACTGGAGAAGCATTTGGGGTTCCAACTGGTCTGGTTCAGAGGTCCTGAGGGCATTAGGAGAGACAGGTAACCTGCTCTTAGGCACTCTCAGAGCACTCCTTCCTGGAATGTGTGTGTGTTTATGTGTGAGTATTAGCTTGTGTGTGTATGTGTGTGTGTATATATATACACGTGTGTGTACGAGCTTGTGCATATGAGCTTGTGTGTGTGTGTGTATATATATATATGTGTGTGTACGAGCTTGTGCATATGAGCTTGTGTGTGTGTGTGTATATATATACACGTGTGTGTACGAGCTTGTGCATATGAGCTTGTGTGTGTGTGTGTATATATATATACGTGTGTGTACGAGCTTGTGCGTATGAGCTTGTGTGTGTATATACGTGTGTGTACAAGCTTGTGTGTGTATGAGTACATGTGTGTACGACCTTGTGTGCATGGATAAAATAACAATATAATTCTTGCATTAGATATAGCGCCTTATCACGTTGGTGAGACTTCTCAAAGGGCTTGACAGAATAGATTGTAAAGTGAATGCTCCCTCTTGGTGACATAATCCGCAGACATGGGGTCAACTTCCACATGACACCCAACTCTATCTCTCTGCCTCCACCCTCGACTTCAAGACCACTGCTGTCCTGGCAGAACGTCTGTCAGACATCAAGTCCTGGATGAGAGCTAACTTTTTACAGTTGAATGTATCGATCAGTTGCATCCACTCACCTCAATGTCCACATTAGGAGAACTTTCCCTGGGATTGTAGTCAAACATTGCCATCATTCTCCGGGGTGGGCCAGGCTGGGCTCCACTACCAAGACTCCTCCGTTCTGTGACACAAGAGCGGGTAAGTGAGGGTCCTCATATAATGCCCTCACTGCTGTCCAGCTCAGACCCAGGAAAGCAAAGAATGGGAAAGGACATTTATTTGGCCCATGACTCCTTCCAAGTACAAATCTGCCCAGCAGTGAACCTCAGTCACACAGTCTTCTATAAAGGCATTATACCAGTGTTTCACAGATTAAAACATTAAAGTGGACATTCCACCCAACTCTAGATTTATTCTGTCATAAGGTAACATTTCAGAGCACTCAGAATGAGTCAAATTCTTAAACACTTTAATTTTGAAGCTGTTTTACTGTGAGTTCTTTTAAGAACTGTAAACAGCTCGTATATTCACAGTATAAAATCACTGTATAATCACATTCTATAAAAATCACTGTATAATCAGAGAAAATCACTGTATAATCACAGTATAAAATCACTATAATCACAGTATAAAATCACTGAAAATATCACTCAAAACTGCATAATCAGACAGTATATATCATTATAATGACAATATAATTATAGTTTATAACGAATAATAATATTCTTAATAATATTAGTATTAATAACTAAAGTTACTAATTGTGACAACTGACATTAAATCAGACTGCAGAAGATGTTATATGGGCAAGTCTCCCGGCACAAATTCAATTGATTTACAAACCACGGAGAGATAAGAAATCAAAATCAGGCTTGCTGACCTCTGTATTTCACGTCCTCCCAGGCAGCTGATTGCACTGTAAGAGCACAGATGGGGTTAGTGAAAGAGCTGGATGCTGTATATCAGTCAGTGGCAGAGAAGCAGACCTCAAAACACAGATACACTACCATCACATACATGCAAGAGCCAAAGAAATGGTGAGCGTGGAGTGAGACAAACCTTTCTTGGATCGCCGTGGTTTCGGAGGAGGGACAGTGCGGCGAGGCGGTGGAGAGAGCGTGCGGCTGCCTTCATCCAGCAAAAGACGAGAAAAAAAGAGGAAATAAAGCCGCACGAGAAGCCGAGACACACAGAGCACAAACAATGTAAGCTCAGAAACCAGCAGAACCCAGGCCGGGGAGCAGGAATTGCCCGCAGCTGTGAGGTGCCATTGTGCCCCCTGTCTAAACCTCACGTGAATGTCTCAATTCTGGGACTCTATAATACAGGGGCCGAATCGCGCTTTCAGACACTACGCTCGAAACTCTGGAACACTCTTCCTCTATCCTTCCACCTTGCCCCTTCCTCCCCCATCTTCAGGTTGCGCCTGAAGACCTTCCTATTTGATCGTGTTTACAGTCACCTCCCCTTCCCCCGGTTCAGAGTCGTGCTCCGCCACTGTCCAGCACTCTGGGACGCTACCCTGCGTGAGGGGAGCTATATCAATGCAGGCTGTTGTTGGCAGTCGGTAATACTGGCTCCAGATCAGCTCCCTCGGAGGGATCGTACCCCCTTCTATTAATGATACTGAGCACTTTACTTTATTGCGACAAGACAAATGCCTTTCAGTGGGAGCCCTGCAGCAGCTGGTCATTAGGTTATTAACAATGAACACTGAACATACAATGAAGCTGGCATTTCAAACATCCCCTTGCATTCTGGCTGGATTTTCTGCCCCCAAATTTGGAGAAGCAATTTAACCCTAAACCCCAGCTCCTTCCAGCCTTCCTCTGCAAGCATGCTTATGAACCACTCCTACCTCCCCCCTCCCCTCCTCCTCTCCTGGTTCCCATCCACCGGCCTGGTTCTTGCACCCCTCGCCGTGCCCCCACACAAACTCGGTGGGAGGGGAGGGGTGTGGTGTGGGGGAGCGACAGGCAGCACTTACCTAGTCTGTGCATGGAGGTGCTGGGAGCCAGATACCCACGCTGTAACAACTGCTCCATTATTCCTTCATCGTCCACCTGGATTTCCGAGACCATGTTACACGGCACCAGCCCAGCGCGGCCGCTGGCCTCCCCATGGTAAAAGCCGTCGGCATCCTTATCCCCCAACACCTGTAAGAGGCAGCAGCACTGAATGTCCCTCTTGCCATTGCCCGCTCCCTTGCCCCAGCAGAGAAGGGTCGGGGTTTGGAGAGGGTTCAGAGTGGGTGTGAGTTGTGGGGTGGGGAAAGGGAGAGTCTGGGCAACGGAAGGGTCGTGGGGTGCGAAAGTCTGCGGCTGCAAAAACCATCGCTCCTCCACGATTTCAGTCCGACATGGGGGGCAGTAGGTTAGAACATTAATGGTTATAGAGGGGTGTTTCCATTCCTTGGGCAGCCCCTCCCTCTCAGGCACAGAGCAAGAGTTCTGTGGCAAAAAGCAAAATACTGCAGATCTGAAATAGAACCAGAAGTGGTTGGGAACACCCAGCGGGTCAGGAAGCATCTAGGGGAAGAGGAAAGTGAGTTAAGGTTTCAGGTGGATGACCTTTCAACAGTTTTTGACCTGAAAGGTTGACTGACTTTCCTCTCTCTATCTCTCTCTCTCCCCGTAGATGCTGCCTGACCTGCTGCGCGTTCCCAGTGACTTCTGTTTTTATTTCAGATTTCAGGTATCTGCGGTATTTCGCCTTTAGTTTCCAGCTGAAGTCTCTTTTCCATAAACAGAACTGTTTGGGAAAGGGCTGAATTCAGGTGGTCAGGGAGGGCTGGCTTCACCGACCCTGAAACTGAGCTCGATGTGAGGCAGGCAGTAGACCGCAAGCACTGACTCTACCTTAAGGATCTGGCCCTCCGTAAACGCTAGCTCCTCCACAGTGTCTTGGTTGGGTGACATTGTGACAGGATCATAATCAAACAAAGCCACAAAGACACGAATGGCAAGACCCTGCGATGGGTTCTCTGTCTCCGATAGCTTGCCTCCAGCCCACACTCCAGTGGCTCCGTTTCTTGAACTTCCTGCAAGTCAAAGCGGAAAAATGCCAGGTCAAACCCTGATCGTTACCGGTCACAAAATAGGAATAGGAGGAGCCCATGGAGCCTGAGACCCAGGATCCTGACCAACAATCCCCCAGATAAAATCAGTCATCCACTTCACGGCTGTTTGCGGGACATCGCTGTGCGCAATTGGCTGCCGTGGTTCATTTACAATAAACAGTCACTGAACTTTAGAATAATTCCTTTGTGACCTTTTAACGACGGAACAAGCGCTATCGCAAATGAAAAGATTACTGTTATTACAATTGATCATCATGACCGATCTAAATCCCGTCTCCTTGCCCCTCAATATCCTCACTGACCAAGTTCCCATCTCCTGTTTAAACAGCCCAATGGATTCTGCCTCTATGGGCTTCTGGGGCAGGCCATTCTGTAACAACAACAACAACAACTTGCATTTATATAGCGTCCTTCACACGGGGTAGAGTCCCAGAGCGCCTCACAGCGGCAGAGTCTGACAACGAGCCAGGGGGAGAGGGAAGTGGGGGAGGTGACCGTAAGCCCCATCAAAAAGCAATGTGTTTCATTCCATAATGAAAGGGAGCTCGTATCTGACTGATTGCATTGAAATGTTTGAGATTACCAAGAGCAGAGATGAGGGAAATGGCCAGTGTCGTGCTGGGGTTAGCTCCTGTCCTCCCCCCACCCCCCCCACACCGCTCTTCGGTTTGTGTGAACGCTATGGTCTTCCCCAATGCTGATGACTCTGACCGTTGAGAGAGCCTGGCTCCTGCAGCGGAGACGAACTGTCCTTTGTATTCACATCACTTTCCGCAGGAGAGTCCTGGAGCGGGGACTGAGGGTCTGACATCATCTGCAAGTCCTGAAAGCACAACAAACAGCGATCAGGAAAGAGTCCCAGAAATTAATCCATACTGACACTAGCCTGACACGCTCACCAAGGCCTGACACGCTCATACACACTCAGCATGGTCTGTCACGCTCACACACGCTCACCTTTCACGCCTTTCACGTCGGGAGGACGTCACACTCACCATGGCCTGACACATAGTGTGTCACACTCATGCACATTCACCACGGCCTGTCACTCATATCTGCTCAACACAGCTTCCCACATGCACACGCTTGCACACACACACGCATGCTCAGGCTGTCACAGGGCAACACATCATCTATAGGCTGCTATCTAAAAGTTACAGCAATCTTTCACACACACACACTCACCACAGCCTGTCACACTCACCACAGCCTGTCACACTCACCACAGCCTGTCACACTCACACATGCTCACCACAGCTGCATTGGGAGCTGCGCTGGGAGTGGTGAGTTGACTAACCGCGGGGTTAGGTGACAGGCCACAACACAAGGAAGGAGCCTGTACACTCCAAACAACATCACTCAAACACAGCAGAGAGGTATGGCTGCCACACACAGGGTTAGTGACAACCAGCACAGGCTGGTCCCACCTATGTACGGTTACAGGAAGGAAGCTTAGGGAAGGTGCAGAGAAACAGCTGAGAGAAGACGCACACACCCATATACAGGTTGCATCCTTCGGGTGCCACATTGCCCTCGCCCTGCCCAGCTCGTAAATCCTCGCCTGCAGAGCCAGCGATTCCTGTTCCTCTCGCAACCTATTCGTGTGGGCACTGAGCCTCTCCCTTTCTGCGTGGTGTGCCAGGCTCCTTAAAGCACCGACTGCCTCCTTCCTGCGATGGTGCTGGGAGCGATTAACATTGACAGAGTTCCGCTCAAACACCTCGTCCTCCACTGAACTCTGCCTCTGGAACTCCCTTGTGTGGTTGGCAGAGTGTGTGCATTCTCCCTGGCTGGAGGCGTCGCTCCCCTCCCTCTCTGCGTGCAGGGCATCGCACCAGATATCAACCACTTGGGAGCTGTGGGCTGGGAGCTCTTCCTCCTCCTCGGTCCCATACTCCACATCTATCTCTAAGTTCCTCTCTGTCAGGGAGAGGAGAGGATTGCCATGAAGAGCCAGGTCCATGGCATGTTGGTCTCTGTGTCGAATGGCAGTGTCAGGCAGTGCGTGTAATCGCATTGTTGGTTCACTGCGCTCCATGGTATGCGTTGGCTGCTGCTTGAATAACCTTTTCTCTGAGCTTTCGAGAGCTGCTGGAGTCAATTCCTGCACATTGCTGGCTCGGGTCCTGGCCTCCCGCCTGCGAGACCGAGGATAACGATGGTGGACAGTGGGACGAACCGGGGCTCCAGGCTTGGCGGACTTGTGGGCCTTTTCATTCCGCTCATTGCTCCCAGCGTTGGTGTTGGCGTTGGAGGTGGCGTTGGGGACGTGCGCCATCTTCTCAGCCAAGTCTTGTTGTTTGTTATCGTGGACAGCGTCAGGCAGGACCTGGCTCTCCTCCCAGGCAGCACGGGGGGTGGGTTCTGAAACGCTGCTGGCCTTCTCTGCACGCTCTCTGTCCCCGTTGCTGTGGGAAGCTTTCCCTGCGCCCAGATCCTGGGGTCTGACAACAGGAGGTCCAAGGGCCGAGCCCGTGTCCGCAATGTCAACGCGTGTTAACGGCTTCTCCTGCTGCTGGGGCTCACTGCACTGCAGGCAGGAGGAGATGTGGGCCATTGGCTCCAGCGATCCCGTTGGAGCCAGCCCTGCGCTGTCCGAGGCTCCGCTCTTGTCGTCTCTGCTTTCCTCCTCTTCCTCCTCCGCCACTTCGGGAATGCTGAAGAGTTTCTTGCTGCATTGTTTCTGCAGAGGGATATCCAGGATTTTTTCCAGAAACTCCTCGTCGCTATCCGTTTCGTAGGGCTCGGAGTTCTGGGCTTGCGGGTGCAATGCGGGCTGGCGGGTGGTGCAGGAGGGAGGGAGAGAGGGAGGGAAGGAGGGAGAAAGCAGGGAAGAAGAGAAACAAAAGTGAAGATGAACATTGGCACCTGAAGAGCCCAAAGAAAGACAGAGGGAGATGAGCATCCCCGCTCCAGCCCCAACTCACAGCTCGGTCTCTAGTCCCAGACCCTGCCCAAGGGAGCTATAGTATCAAAGTGCTGCACTCTAAATTTATTTCCCTGATCTTTGCATTTGATACAGTGCCTTATCACGTTGTCGAGACATCTCAAAAGTATATTTACAGAATATACTGTAAAGTGAATCGACTGTGTATTTTGTCGGCGAAATGCGGCAGCTGTGATTATTATTACCCCCGGAAAAGCAATCCGCCTATCGACTAACAACCGGGTTCCTACTTGCTGCCGGGTAAAAAGAAGCATGTGGAGTAAGGTAACTTGCCCAACATTGCACCCTGCCTGGGGATCGAACCCAGGTGCTCTCGCTTGCGAGGCGAATGCTGTAACCAGTACGCTACAGGACTCCAAATCCTCCCCTCCTTAATAATAATAATAATCCTTGCATTTGATATAGCGCTTTTCACGTCGGGAGGACGTCCCAAAGCGCTTATATTTTCCTTTCTTTATCCAATTCCCCTTCAAATGCTGTTACACACTCACGTTTATGGTAAGCAATTTTCCAACAACCTCTGTCATTTGCTAACCTAATCCCGTTATGACTGACTGACTTGCCGAACAGTGAAATAGCCTTTTTTAAAAAAACATATTCATAATTTTTGAAAAACTTCAAAAGATCCTCTCTGCTCTGCCGAATACTCGCAACTTTTTAACGCCTTTCCACAAGCGAAGATTGTTTTGGGTTCAGCCGGGAATCTCCAGACTAGAACAGAAAGTTTCACGTACACCTGCCATTTACACGTGTGAAGAATTACATCAGTTTACTGAAGGGAAACAGTTTATACAGGCATCAAAGGATGAAGATATAAAGGGAAGAGGTGCCAACTGAAACTCCTAACTCAATCAAAATACGCAATCAAACTCTAAAACACACTGTACACATACTGTACAGTATATTCTGTGAAGCGCTTTGAGACGTCTCAATGACGTAATAAGGGCTGCAACAACTTGCATTTATACAACAGCCCTCATGCAGCGTAGCGTCCCAGAGCGCTCGACAGTGGCGGAACACGCCGTCAAGTCGGGGGGGAAGGGGAGGTGACCATAGGCACGATCAAATAGGAAGGTCCTCAGGCATTTTCTATATCAATGCAAGCAATATTATTATTATAATATTGACAGTCATTCATTCAATACACATTGACACTAGACTGGGTTTTGTAGGGATTGAAGCAGGAAAGTGCTAGTGAAATTGGATATCAGTTGGAAAATATTATGAAATGCAGAGCAGTGGAAATATGTAGATAATCTAGAGAGGTCATTAGCAATAGGGTTATAATTAAAGGAGATTTTTAATCATCCAACATAAACTGGAATATAGACAATGTTTTGTGGAATGTATTTTAACCTTTATTAAAAGAAATAAGGAAGTGCTACTTGTCCTGCATTTTGAGGTGGAGCAAGTGAATATCATAAAAATGGGGAAACATTAATTATATTTACCGTGAGAATAGAAAAGGAAGAGTTAAGAGCAAGGGTAATTGACTGCAAAACCAAAATCGCATCAAAGAGAATCACAGGAAGGGAACTTTGACCAGATTAACTGGAAGGAAAATAAACATAGCCGAGCAATGGGAATAATTAATAATCGAGTCGGAAAGAGTTCTAATCGGGAACGAGTAGTGAAGGCTGGGTGAATGGGGAGAATAGATACAATCTGAAACTAAAAAAGGAAGTAATTCTAACACTTGCAGGCAGATAATAAAAAGGAAAACCAAGAGAAATAAAGAATATACAAGAGCCACAAAGAAAGAGATTAGAATGGTTGAGAGGGAGTGCTACCTAAGAGGCTTACGAGAAAGATCACGACACATGTAATAAAGTGGTTGTGGTCAGATGGATTTGAGAGTTAATGGGGGGGGGGGGTGCTGGAGGTGACGAGTGGATCATGGCTGATCTGTACTTCAAATCCAATTACCCGCCCTTGCCCCGTACCCCTTAATACCCTGACATAACAAACATCTCTCCACCTCAGTCTTGAAGATGTGAATGGATCCAGCCATAATCCACAGCCTTTTGGGGGAGAAAGTTCCAGATTTCAGAGTCTCTATAGCCTTGTGGAGTCCTGTAGCTCAGTGGTTAGAGCACTCGCTTTGCAAGTGAGAGACCTGAGTTCAATTCCAGGCAGAGGGCGAAACCTCGGGCAAGTTTCCATACTCCACACAGAGCCTAATAATAATCCCTCCAAAACCAACAACAATAATAAATTGGTCATTTTCAATCTATGACTGTTTGTGGGACATTGCTGTGTGCAATTGGCTGCCGCGTTCGCCCACAAATATACAGTCAATTCACTTTACAGTGTGTTCTGTGAAGCGCTTTGGGACGTCCTCCCGACGTGAAAAGCGCTATATCAAATGCAAGGATTATTATTATTATATCAGTAGTGCAAAAATGCTGGAGTCCATTATAAGGGGAAATACTGACATGTGCAAAGAGATGAACAAATAATTCTTGGGATAACATTTATTTTGCCGCAGCTGGGACTGCGGATGGGGCTGGAGATATTGTCTGCAGATAGCAGGAGGTCGGGTTAGACGGTGTGAGACCAGGAGATATTGTTAGCAGGAGGTCTGGTTGGAGAGTGAAGTAGGGATCAGAGGATATTCTGGAGCGGAGGGTATTTGCTGGATTCCGTGTGGGGATTGGAGTCTCTGTTTGAAGCTGCTTTCTGAATAGCTTGATCTTCAACCTCAGCCCTTTGCCTATCTCAGCAGCAATAGCATTAACTGAGAGAAGAGAAAGGGAGTGCTGGAGCTCTTTACCTTCAGTGAGCTGCTGCTGGTCAGGAAGTCACCCTGCTGTGTGTCTTCATTCGCTTGCGTATCCGATCCCAGCTCTTCCTCATCTTCTTCCATAATGTCCGAGAGGTCTGAGCCCTGACCAGTCTCCAGCTGGTAGTCCTCATTCTCAAAGCTATCAGTTTTATTCACCTGTTGAAAGGAAGAGAAACACAAAGAAAAAAAAACCCCACTGGAGCTGCATTGGAACAAAACAGGATCAACATTGGTGTAAAACTGTGGAGACCTGGGTTCGATCCCCAGGCAGGGCGAAACCTTCCGCAAGTTTCCTTACTCTACACGCCTCAGTTTACCCAGCAGTAAGTAGGAACCCGGTTGTTAGTGGATTGGTTGATCGCTTTTCCGGGGGTAATGACCCAAAAAAAAAAAATGTGCTCACTCAATCCACGAATGTTTGTGGGGACACTGCTGCTGTGTTTCGCCTACAAAATACACAGTGGATCCACTTTACAATGTATTCTGTGAAGCGCTTTGAGACGTCTCAATGAGGTGATGAGGCGCCATATCAAATACAGGGATTATTATTATTATTACTAACACTGGGTCAGCATTGGTGCAGCACTTGAGCAATTTGGAGCAGCCTGTATTAATGTGAGGTGGAGACTTTCTTCTCTAATCGTCCACCAAGCTCATCAGATAAAAGCCACAGGATTTTCTCCCTTTGAAGAGTGAAAGCCAGGGCAACAATAACAACAAGATTCTATTTATAGAGTGCCTTTCACGTCGGGAGGACATCCCAAGGCGCTGACTCTAAGGCAGTCTCTAGGGCAGTCTCTCACGGCCCAGTAATATAGGGTGATACGGAACGACAGTAATACAGAGAGACTGCGATTGTGCACACAATGAAGGGTGTCAAATGAGAGGATTGTCAGTCTGGCTCAGCTGGTAGCACTCTTACCTCGCTGAGGGACAACGTGACGACATAATCAAACACAATAATTATCAGTTATTATCGGAGATAATATAGCGGGGTTGCCCTGCACGTCAAGGAATAAACTGGCACTGTTTATGTCACTGTTACAGAGACTTGTACACACCTGACCGCTCTCGCCCGTTCCCAGTTGCAGTTCCTCCGTGAGCTGCTCGTCCTTGGGTGCCGAGAGATCTTCTTGCTTTGATTCAGAATCTGTCGGAAATTCCTGACTCGATTCCACCTTAACACTGCACTGGGAATCATCAGCCACGGGGCCCTCTGATTGATGCTGAAATGTGTTGACTGAGGAGACGGTCTCTGGCACAGCCACAGACACCTTGGGCTCCTGCTCGATCACGTTGTCGCTCACTTCGTTCTCATCAGAAGGTTCTGTCGTGGTGCTGCAGACAGAGTCTTCATTCTCTTCAGAGTCGAGAAGGAAATCTTCAATCGAGGCCACTGGGCTTTCCAAACCCTCGTTGTCTTGTGGAGTTGGCGGCTCCTCCTCACCTCTCTCCTGTACGGAGGATCAGAAACACCAACTGCTGTTCTGAGGATCTCATCAAACTGGGTATTCATTTCACATCCATCGGTTTCTCTGCCAACTCCAACCCGGCCCCTCCCCCCAACCCAGCCCCTCCCCCCAACCCAGCCCCTCCCCCCAACCCAGCCCCTCCCCCCAACCCAGCCCCTCCCCCCAACCCAGCTCCAACCCTGGCACAGCCACCTTGAGCTCCTGCTCTATCTCATTGTCACTCACTTTATTCTCAGCAGAAGGTTCTGATGTCTTTGTGCTGCAGACAAAGTCTTCCTTCAGTTCAGGGATGCAAAGAAAATCTTCAATCGAGGCCACTGGTCTTTTCACTTGAGCGTTCTCCAAATCCTCGCTGTCTTGTGGAGCTGGTGGCTCCGCCTCACGTCCCTCCTGTAGGAAGGATCATGAACACCATTTTGTGTTGCTCTGTTTCTGAGGATCTTATCAAACGGAGTATTCATTTCAAGTCTATCATTTCCCGCCAACTGCAACTCAACCACTCCCACTAACTCAGCCCCACCCCCCAACCCAGCTCCTCCCCCCCAACCCAGCTCCTCCCCCCCAACCCAGCTCCTCCCCCCCAACCCAGCTCCTCCCCCCCCAACCCAGCTCCTCCCCCCCCAACCCAGCTCCTCCCCTAAACCCAGCTCCTCCCCTAAACCCAGCTCCTCCCCCAACCCAGCTCCTCCCCCAACCCCAGACCACTCCCCCAACCCAACTCCTCCCCCAAACCCAGCTCCTCCCCTAAACCCAGCTCCTCCTCCCCAATCCCAGCCCCCTATATTCCTTTCAGATCCCTAATCTAATGCCCCTAATCCCAGTTCTGCAAAACCCAGTTTCCCCTAAACCTGGACAAGTCCTGCAAGGTAACAGACCTTCTTTGCACCAGGGTGCCTCAGTGAGATGTGTCCTGTGAGGTCTCCTGGCTGCTATTACCTGTAACTTCTCTTCACTTTCAGTGCCGTCTCTTTGAACAGGCTCCTGACAGACGTCAGCGCTTGGTGTTCCTTCCACTGGAGTCTGGGGCAGGAGAGCAAAATGGTGAATCCTGGACTCGCTTGACGGAACATTGCTAGCACTGCAAGGAGCCTGCGCTTGATCAGGTAGCACGGGGTCTGGCAACTCTTGATCGGAAGGAGTGGCGATTTGGGCGTGTGGCCACACTCTGGGGGTACTGTACATTGGCACAGTGGGAGACTCTGCTGCGAGGAGTGATGCAGGAACGATGCCGGGACTGGAGTCAACGGATTCTCCGTGGGTGGACAAAGTGCGGACAGTCAGCGTCGCAGAGGTCTGTAGTAGCTGGAGCTGGGGCTGGGTGGGGCTGAGCAGCACAGTGCCTGCGGTAGGAGAGGCCACCTCCGTAATCTGGAAAGAAACATGAGGAGGTTTAAATTGCAGGCGATTGCTTCCTCCCGGTCGATGAACACGCGTCAAAATTAGCTGCTCTGACAGATGATATGGTGTCACAGCTTTCACTTACTGACATTCACCTACATAGAATGACGGGGCAAAACCTTAGGCAAGTTTCCTTACTCCACACGCCTCTGTTTACCTAAGCAGTTAGACGATTTGTGAATTGTTTTCCGGGGGGTAATAATCTCTCCAAAAACAATAATAATAATTTGGTCACTCAATCCACGATTGTTTGTGGGGACACTGCTGTGCACAATTGGCTGCCGCGTTCGCCCACAAATATACAGTCAATTCACTTTATAGCATATTCTGTGAAGCGCTTTGAGACGTCGAGAAGACGTGAAAAACGCTATATCAAATGCAAGGATTATTATTATTATATCAAATGAAGCATTTTTATTATTATTATTGCTTCTCTGGGAAGCTAAACTGAGGTTCCTTCTGCCTGTTTAGGTGGATGTTAAAGATACCAGTGGCACTATTCGAAAAGAGAAGGGTCCCTGGCCAACAATCCCCCAAATTAAATTGATCGTTCTCTTTTTGCCTGTTTATGGGACATTGCTGTGGGTAAATCGTTCACCAACAAATACACAGTCACAGCCACAGTAAATCCTGTGAAGCGCTTTGAAACATTTTTCTCAGTGTAGCTGATGCAAATTTGGCACTATAACATCTCCAGGATATGTTCCCTCGCACACTCTCTCCCCTTCCCCTCTCGCACATTGATCCCCTCCCACAGAGTATGCTTTCTCTCCCCACCCCCCCCAACACACCAATATACTGACAACTGAGTGACTTTTACCTTGTATCCAGCTGTGTAGACAGCGTAGCCCATGACTCTAACTCCATTCGAAGTCCCGGCAGCATCAATCGTCACCGGCAGCCAACTGATCAGCAGAACCCCAGGGTCAGGGCCAGCCTCCACCTGAACGTCCAGCGGTGCATCTGGGGGTCCTGTAACAACATCCAATCAGCACCCAGGACCAATCAAGACCCAATCACCCATGACTTTGGAGCAATCAACACCCAGGATCCTGCAAGCGCTCTGGGACGCTACCTTGCGTGAGGGGGCGCTATATAAATGCAGGTTGTCGTCGTTGTTGCACCAATCAACACACTGGGTGCAGTGAATCTTGAGGTCAACTCAGTTCTCAGTTGGAGGGTGAACTGTGGAGTCCTGTAGCTCAGTGGTTAAAGCCCTCGCCTCACAAGCGAGAGACCTGGGTTCGATTCCCGGCAGAAGGCGAAACCTTGGGCAGGTTTCCTTACTCCACACATATGCCTAATAATAATCCCTCAAGAAAAAAAAATCACAAATTGGTCATTTCAATCCATGACTGTTTGTGGGACACTGTTGTGTGCAATTGGCTGCCGCATTTCGCCCACAAAATATACAGTCAATTCACTTTACAGTATATTCTGTGAAGCACTTTGAGACGTCTCGAATACGTGATAAGACATGATATATTTGTAAGGATTATATAACTCATTTCAACAATGAACTAGACATAGAAACTTACAGCAGGGAAAGGCCATTCAGTCCACTATGTCTGTTCAGCCCCAATTACCTGCCTTTTCTCCAAACCCCTGCGATTTACTCCTGGTTAGATATCTATCTCGTTCCCTATCAAACCCTTGCGACGTGTTATGAAATTGTTAACGTGCTACAGAGAGGTCAGACTTTTTAGGAGTCGAGAGTGTAATGAGAGTCTTGGAGTGTTTCCCTGTGGGTGTGTGTGTGCCAGAAGGTAACTTCTATAGTCCCACATTGCCTCACCTGCTATCAAGGTAGAAAACTGGGTGTAAATGGACTTGAGTTGCCTCCGATCCAGCGGCAGCTGCCAGGGTGTCTGTTGTGGTCTGGCCTCTACTTTGACCTTATACTTCATGTTGGGCCTCAGGTTTATCAGGGCGTAGACATAGTTACCGGGCTTCACCACCTCATACTCGGCCTCATTCAGGAACAGCGCATGGCTGTAGTTACTGTTGCTCGGCAACCAGGAAATGTCCGCTGAGGAGGCTGTGATGTTTTGCACCTTCAGCTGCATGGGCGCAACACAAACATCCTTCCCCACCAGCATGGTGCTGCGTAGCTGGTCTGAGCTCCCCTTGTCAGTCACAATCTGGATACAGATGCGATACGCCCTCGCGTTCAGCTCCAGCCTCTCGATCACAGCCTTGGTCTGGGAGCCGAACTTGATATTCAGCCGCAGCTCCTTGTCCACGTGGATGTTGTAGCTCAGTGCGGTTCCCCAGCCGGCGGGCACAATGGGCGGCTCCCAGCTCAGCACGATGCTTTTGGCGAGCTGTTTGATCAGGTTCAGTTTCCGCGGGTAAGGAACCACATCCTCCCCCACCTCCTCCAGATCGGGATCAAAGCCATTGCTGACCAGGCTCTCGGGCTTGTCCTTGTTGGTCTCCAGGGCAGGTTCCTCCTGTCTCTCTGCGTTGCTGACCCTGTGCAGGGAGAGGCTGCGCTCGCTACCGCTGTGGAAGCTGCTCTCCTGGAATGAACTTTGGGAAGGCTCACTGACCTCTGGGGGGTGTAAGACCAGCATGTTCTCATCAGACACGCGTTCAATGAAGTTGGAAGGAACTAGCCCTCGTCTGCCATCCACCAGCTCTCCTACACAAAGATCAGAAAGACTTCTCAACGCTGGTCCCTAATGCATGGAATCTTACCGAAGGGAAAGGCTTAAAAGAATTTACAGAGAAATTATCCGCTTTGGTTAAGCATTGCTTTCACGATTTCTGAGACATTATACAATGGGCAATTCTGTAATAATGTGGCCATCTGGGTCCAATGTCTCAGAAGTGGAACAGGCTCCCTAGGGAGACAGTTCAAGCAGGAAGTGTTGATTCCTTCAAACACAGATTAGATAGGTTTCTTTTAGGAAATAATATTATGGGATATAGTACATAGGGAGTTCAGGATATTTGTGCACGTGACAGCCGGAAGGTGGAAGGAGAACTAGATGGATCTCAGTCATTTTTTCATCTCTTATTTCCTCTGTTCTTATGTTACGTTCTTAAGCCGCTCTATGAGCCAACTACAACAAAATGGCCAACTTCTGGGTCATTTCTGCGGGCCACACATGCAACATTAGTACAGCTTCTTTCATACAGCACACATACGCAGCATTACAGGAAGTGATATCAGTGACGTTTGCTGCACACCAGTAAAACTACAGACCCACCTTCCCCACTGTGGTGATTCAACTGGCCATATGTGCAAATAATGACAGACTGCATTAGGGCTCCCACTGGTGACCCCACAGAGAAAATAATCCTCTTCCAATCTATCTCTCAGGCTCTGAATATGATTTCTGGGTTTAAATTCTGTGCATTTTGCCCACAAAATATACAGTCAATTAATTCACTTTACAGTATAATCTGTGAAGAGCTTTGAGACGTCTCGAAAACATGATAAGGCGCTGTATCAAATATAAGGATTATTATTATTACTCTACACATCTGGTGACCACTGATTATCACCAGTGTCAAACAGAAGCAAAAAGGCTGAAGGAAACGGTAAACATCAGTGGTGAAAAAGCTTCAAACATCCCCATCAATAGTTTTGTATCTGGTCAGAGAAATGCAGGACACAGTTCAGCGCAGTCTAAACAGTAAAGTGTAGTATTGCCCCGTTACTTGAGTCAGACCTTCATAAAACCCGTCCTCATCCATGTCTCCATACACGTAGATGTAGTCCCCCGCTGTGAGAGGCAGCTCTGCCTCCGGGTTCTCGTTCGGCCCATCGAAGGGATTGTAACTGGGGGTAAAGGTTGAGAAACGTTCATTCAAAGCTACTGTACATAACTTTACACAAGTCATATATCATTCAACTTATTCAAGTTTACCATAATACAGACTTTGCATAAGTCATATTAAATGTTATGGTCCCTATGTGAGTTTTACTGGAGTAATGGAGTTCCTATAGCTCAGTGTTTAGAGCACTCGCTTCGCAAGCATGAGACTTGGGTTCTATTCCCGACAGGGCGAAATGTTGGGCAAGGTTCCTTACTCCACACGCCTCTGTTTACCCAGCAGTAAGTAGGAACCTGGTTTTTAGTCAATTGACGGATTGCTTTTCCGGGGGTAATAATCCCTCCAAAAATAAATAAAATACATTTTGCCTCTCACAGCATCATGTTACAGAAGATGTCGCATCAAACACGGTGACGGACCATTATCTATGATGAAAGTGATGGCGCTCACTCAGACACACCGATCCTCCGGACGTCTAAATACAGTTAACCCCTTGTAGATTTCGGGTGCCTGCTATGTCCAGGTTTTCCATGAATTTTGTATTCCAGTGCAGACGGAAGATCAGTACAAGGGGTTTCTTAATGCAGCCGCCACAATAAAAATAATAAAAATCCTTGCATTTGACTTAGCGCCTTATCACGTCTTCGAGACGTCTCAAAGTGCTTCACAGAATACACTGTAAAGTAAATTGACTGTATATTTGTGGGCGAAACGTGACAGCCAATTGCGCACAGCAGTGTCCCACAAACAATCGTGAATTGAATGATGATGTGTTTTATTCGGGAGGTTAAGGCACACCAGAAAGAAGGGGAGCATGCAGAAGGAAATACCAGGACAGGCAGAGCAGCTAAAACAGGCAGCGATAGGGAGAGGCACCAGATAATAACATTGCACCAGTTGTGGCAGTACAGAAAGTAATGGAAGGAACTTGCACAGTCTGCAAAGGGAACACACTAAAGAAAATCCAAACAATAGTCAGGGTATAAAGGGATACGGGCCAAGGACGGATAACTGGACTTGAGGTACAGATCAGCCATGATCTTATACAATGGCGGAACAGCTCGAGGGGCTGAATGGCCTCCTCCTGTTTCTATTGCTTGGTGATAATTGATAATTGATAAGTTTACCAAGAGAATGGAAGCTTTCCCGTACCACAGGCTGTAACAATGGCAAACATTCTGCTGTGTGAAGTGTCCTGCAGGTGGGAACTCCCAACACGAGTGGACAGTGACCAGGGATCATATTTTACGGGAAAAATATTTACTGAATTTTACAGAAACAATTGTCCAAGAACTACATGTATCATCATCACCCACAGCATCATCATTCTTCCACATGTTTCACTTGTTGGTCTGTGCAATAATAATAATCCTTGCATTTTTGATATAGTGCTTTTCACATCGGGAGGACATCCCAAAGCGCTTCACAGAACACACTGTAAAGTGAATTGACTGTATATTTGTGGGCGAACGCGGCAGCCAATTGCGCACAGCAATGTCCCACAAACAGTCGTAGATTGAAAATGACCAATTTATTATTGTTTTTGGTTTTGGAGGGATTATTATTAGGCTCTGTGTGGAGTAAGGAAACTTGCCCAAGGTTTCGCCCTCTGCCTGGGATTGAACTCAGGTCTCTCACTTGCAAAGCGAGTGCTCTAACCACTGAGCTACAGGACTCCACATGTAGAAAAAAGCACGAGTGGACAGAGTACAAAACAGTGCTCTGTCCAACACTACAGAGCGACAACACTACACTGCAAATTAAGCAAGTCTGACATATCTGTGTTATGTCCCTTTCTAATTCCGGCCACCAAACTATTTTCCGGATTTTTTGCCCACAAAATATACAATCGATTCAATTTACAGTCTATTCTGCGAAGCGCTTTGAGACGGCTCGAAGACGTGATACGGCGCAGAATCAAAGGCAAAGATTATTATTATTATTGTTACAGCACGAGGACAGAATGGATCCCCTCAGAGCTTCCTGTTTGTAGGCTACCTGTAACGAGCGATGAAGACCTGCAGCTTTGCTGTTGTTCTGTTATCAGCATCGGGAATAGAGGAGAGGTTATCAATATCCAGCTCCTCCACTTCGCTCGCAGTGTCCACCTGGAAGGAGAGGAAAGAGGAATGAGGCGGGAGGTCTGAGTGAGGCAGCAACAGCAGCCCAAACACCAAGGAACTGAGAATCCGAGGCTGTCAAGAGTGTGGGACGGAAAGTTACTGTACGTGTTAATCCAAAATAAAAAGGTACGTTTGTTAATGGGCAGAGTGGAAGAATCAAAACGGGGAGAATCGATCAAAATAGAAAATCACGATACAATAACTATAGTGACTGTATGTAACATGGCAGCCGGGTGAGGATGGGCAATAAAGTATTCCTGGCCATCAATGGGGGAGGTTTTTACGCATAAGGTTGCGTCATCCTTGATTCAAACACACTGAGCCCCTCAGTCACTCAATCAGGAGCCCCTTATCACAGTCACTCACTGAGGAACCCAGGCTACGAGAGATAGGAGAGAGACAGAGCGCATGGTGTCACCAAGTCAGAGTAGGCAAGACCAACATTAAAACAGTATGTGAAAGAGTCATTCCTTCCTTCTCTGCTCCCTGGGACTTACCTCTGGAGTTGGGCAAGACTTGGGGCTGCTATGCAGTGACTCTGTCTTTGAGGTGCCTTTGTTGGAGCTCTGAGTGGAAGGTGCACCTTTGCTGAACACAGAGCCAGTGTCTGTTGGCAGTTCCTCTGAGGGCTCGGACTTGCTGACAGCCTCTGTTGGAAGCTCACTATCAGCAGCCTCTTCTGTTGGCTCCTCGGGAATCTTCGGAAGGCAGAATGTCTGAGGAACAACTTCTAGGTGCGAAGAGTACAGAACATTTCAGATAACTACCATGGAATAAACACTCTGAATCTGCTTTGGGGGCGGATTCTCTCACGTTGCTTCTTGGCCAGGAACTGCACAGGATTACTCTCATTGCCTACTTACCACATGTGGGTGAGCACATCAGGAGGGCTGCCCATCTCCTATCCTATTAGTAGTTTAACAGTGAATATCAGGTTAACTCTTAACATTCTGCACAATTAATTGTGAGAGTGACTGGGTCCCTCCAACTCCTGATTCACATTGACTGAGTTGGAGGGACCCAGTCCCTCTCACAATTAATTGTCGCTCTTAATAATAATCGTTGCAATCGATGCAGTGCCTTAATACGTCGTTGAGATGTCTCAAAGTGCTTCAAAGAATATATATTATAAAGTGGGTTGACTGTATATTTTATGGGCGAAACGCGGTGGCCAATTGTGCACAGGAGTTTCCCACAAACATTTGTAGATTGAGTGATCAAATTATTATTATTTTGCGGGGGGAGGGGGGGGGAAGGGGGAGCTGTTATCAGCTGTAAATCAATGGCTGTCGTTCAGAAATTTTGAGGTACAGTGGGCGAACCTTCCCGAGAGAGGGAGACTGAAACTCTCTAAAGGGTTGTTTAAATCAGAACGGAATGAGAATAGTCAAAACTCGTTACTGGTTAAAGTGAAAGTTAGAAAGGACTGTATTCCTTTTGTTTTGACAACAATCCTCGCCTTTGTCTACAAAATAAGGATCTGTTTTAAACCACCTTTCCTGATTTCTGCATTGCTGCATGGACTAAAGCTCAACTGCTTGCTGAAGGAGAGACATTCTTGGTCCTATGGCCAAATTGACAAGTTCCAGATACATTAGACACAGCCTTGTAACATAACCTCGTTAAACACACACAACAAGCAGAAGTCAGTCTGAGCGAGCCGGGATCAGAACAATTACCTTTATCTTTGGGGGAATCCACTCCATTAAGAAGGCATGTCTGGCTCTGGCCACACACTGGGATAGACTTCTCCAACTGATGTGTCTGGGTGAGCACTGGGATAGATGTCTCAGAGTGGTGTATCTGGTCACCCGCTAAATCAGACATCTCGGAGTGAATGGTCTGGCTGGACAATGGGATAGACGTCTCTGGGTGAATGGTCTGGGTGCATACTGGGTCAGACGTCTCCGATTGATGTGTCTCATCACCCACTGGGACAGACGGCTTCAACTGATGTGTCTGGTCACCCAATGGCACAGGCGTCTCTGAGGGAATGGTTTGGCTGCACACTGGGACAGACGGCTCCGAGTAATGTGTCTGGCTGCACACTGGGACAGACGGCTCCGAGTAATGTGTCTGGCTGCACACTGGGACAGACGGCTCCGAGTAATGTGTCTGGCTGCACACTGGGACAGACGGTTCCGAGGGAATGGTCTGGCTACATATTGGGACAGATGGCGCCAAGTGATGGGTCTGGTCACCCAATTGGACAGGTGTCGCTGAGTGAATGGGCTGGCTGAACACCGGGACAGCCGGTTCCAACTGACGTGTCTGGCTACACATTGGGACAGGCGTCTCGGAGTGATGGGTCTGGCTGAACACTGGGACAGACGGCTCGGAGGTAACAAGGCTGTTTGTTAGCACGTCAATGTTTCCTGATTGCCTACGGAATCGCTCAAGCTCCCTGGAGAGAAGGCAGAACTGCTCGCTCTGGCTTCGGCATTTCTCCTCCAGATCAAGTACCTTTGCCTAGTGGAAAACACACAGTGAGCGAAGCAAGTCACACAAAGAAGGCAATGTCCTCGTCTGGCTTTGCTCCCACGTTCAGGCCTCGATTACTACTCCCACACCCAGATCTCACTCCAGTTTCCTTTTGAAGGATTCCATTGTTTCAGGCTCAATAACCATTTGTGGTAATGAATGATATCTTTGTGACTCCTTCCTTTGCTAACAATCCTAACATTCCTGTCACCAATACCCCCAACTTATGAAAATATTGGGGCAACCGACACAGTAGCTTGGCTTCCTGTGCTGAAAAAAGGACAACTTCCAGGTTGTCAGGTCGTCCGCGACAGCACTTCCTGCGTAGTTCATGTTGTGAACCTCGTGCTGATCTGCTTTATGAGCAGGAAGTTCATTCATACTATGGAGGAAGCGCTACTGATGTCACTTTGTGCAGGATGTCGTTGACAATGGCACTTCCTGCAGGTCGTGTCAGCGATGACCTGTCCACCCGGGAGTCTGGCGAACACCAGCTGTCACTGACTGCCCGACAATCAGAGAACGTTCCTTTTAGTCCAACTCTGCCTCCTGCCTCACAACCAGTTTCTTATCCGCATCATGACATTGCCTTCAATAATTTTAGCTCGTAATCTTTCCAATCCCTAAATGCCTTCTAACAATGCATAAAAACGACATAAGTTGATCCTCCTTTATCTATCATCTCAGCAGGGTTCTGTCAAATAATTCTATTAGATTTGCGAGTCGTGATCTAACCTTCATCAGACCAGGCTGACTCTCTTCCTGATTAATGATTATTTATCCAGATGCTCAGCTGCTCTGTGCCTGACGATGAGGTTTTGATAAGATCCACAAGCAACGCCAGTGGGTAATTAAAAGACATTAATCTAAGACCATTACCAAAAAAGAAAACGAGGTAAGGAGAATGTTTTAGCGCATGGAATGCCTGACCAAATGCGCTGGTTGAAGCAGAATCCATAACGGCTTTAAAAAGGGATAATCCATTTAATTATCTCACTCCTCCACCTTTTACTCTTTTACCCGATAAGGTAAATAATAATAAATAATAATCCTTACATTTAATATAGCAGCTTTCACGTCAGGAAGACTTATCAAAGTGCTTCACAAAATATACTGTAAAGTGTATTGACTGTGCAATTTTGTCAACAAATGTGGCAGCCAAATTGCACACAGCAATGTCCACAACCTTCTGGCTCAGGAGCAAGAGTGCTACCAACTGAGCCAGGCTGACACATTTGCCCACCGCTAGATGTTAAACTCAAAGGTCCATTGTTATTTGGTTTGTTCTTTCTTCCTGTCGTGAATAATGCTATGAAACTCACTACCTTCCAACCTGCTGGCAAGATTCCCAAATCCAGTGAGCTTTGTAAGATTATAATTAAATTATCTTCCACTTCTCCACTTCTTTTAATAGCCCGGGTGTGGAGATGTAACAAGCACTGACACATGGATACACACACAGCATGTTACACACATCCACACACACAGCGTGTTACACACATCCACACACACAGCGTGTTACACACATCCTCACACACAGCGTGTTACACACATCCTCACACACAGCGTGTTACACACATCCTAACACACAGCGTGTTACACACATCCTCACACACAGCGCCACACAGCACGTTACACACATCCTCACACACAGCGTGTTACACACATCCTCACACACAGCGTGTTACACACATCCTCACACACAGCGTATTACACACCTCCACACACACAGCGTGTTACACACATCCACACACACAGCGTGTTACACACATCCACACACACAGCGTGTTACACACATCCTCACACACAGCGTGTTACACACATCCACACACACAGCGTGTTACACACATCCACACACACAGCGTGTTACACACATCCTCACACACAGCGCCACACAGCACGTTACACACATCCTCACACACAGCGTGTTACACACATCCTCACACACAGCGTGTTACACACATCCTCACACACAGCGTGTTACACACATCCTCACACACAGCGTGTTACACACATCCTCACACACAGCGTGTTACACACATCCTCACACACAGCGTGTTACACACATCCTCACACACAGCGTGTTACACGCATCCTCACACACAGCGCGTTACACGCATCCTCACACACAGCGCGTTACACGCATCCTCACACACAGCGCGTTACACGCATCCTCACACACAGCGTGTTACACGCATCCTCACACACAGCGTGTTACACGCATCCTCACACACAGCGTGTTACACGCATCCTCACAGTGTGTTACACGCATCCTCACAGTGTGTTACACGCATCCTCACACACAGAGCATGTTACACATTCTTAATAAGGTAGACAGTGTACAATCACACTTATACATAGATACACACAGATACATAGTGCGTAACACACGATACTCACACTTTGTAACACATACTTGCACACACAGATACATAGACAGTGTGTAACATATACTCACACACACACACAGATACACACAATGTGTAATACAAACACACAGCGCTTACTACTCTCAGAATCAGTGACATAAGCAGAGCATGAAGCAGGTATATTCACACATGGAAAGCATTTATCAGACTTTCTTACGCGTGGTTACATACCTGCATAGAGTCCAATGTGTTCTGAAAAACAAGAATTAATACAGATATAATTACCCCCCCCACTGCCACCCCCGCCAGCACTGCCACCCCCGCCAGCACTGTCACCCCACGCCCCCGCCCCCACCAACACCATCAACCCTATCATCCCATCTCTGTCAGTCTCCTAATCTCCAATCAGCCCCCACCTCGTCACACTGACACACTCACAAACTGGACTGTTTCACTGAAATACTCTGGTACTCACGTACTTCTTATACTTTTACTCTAACACATGCTAACAAACTCTCACGCTGACACACGCTGACACTGACACACTGTTACACGCTCACGCTGACACACAGTGACACACTGCTACACGTTCACGCTAACACTGACACACTGTTACACGCTCCCGCTGACACACACTGACGCTGTTACACGCTCACACTGACACACACTGACACTGTTACACGCTCACTCTGACACACAGTGACACACTGTTACACGCTCACGCTGACACACACTGACAGTTACACGCTCACGCTGACACACACTGGCACACTGTTACACGCTCACGCTGACACACACTGGCACACTGTTACACACTCACGCTGACACACACTGACACACCGTTACACACTCACGCTGACACACACTGACACTGTTATACGCTCACACTAACATACAGTGACACACTGTTATACGCTCATGCTGACACACTATTACACGCTCACGCTGACACTGACACACTGTTACGCGCTCACGCTGACACAGTGATACACTGTTACACGCTCACGCTGACACACACTGACACTGTTACGCGCTCACGCTGACAGTGATACACTGTTACACGCTCACGCTGACAGTGATACACTGTTACACGCTCACGCTGACAGTGATACACTGTTACACGCTCACGCTGACAATGATACACTGTTACACGCTCACGCTGACAGTGATACACTGTTACACGCTCACGCTGACAATGATACACTGTTACACGCTCACGCTGACAATGATACACTGTTACACGCTCACGCTGACAGTGACACACTGTTACACGCTCACGCTGACAGTGACACACTGTTACACGCTCACGCTGACAGTGACACACTGTTACACGCTCACGCTGACACACACTGACACACTGAAAGGGATTTGGATATTTACCTCCAAAAGCACAACCACACCTTCATGTTCCTTTTGTGCTTCGAACTGAGCCTTAATTGGAAAAACCAAAATTAGCGAAGCTGCAGAACATACGACTGTAACCCTCCTCCTGCTGTATATATAACCCCCCGTGTACACGCTGTCACCTCCTACTCTATATATACCCGTCTGTACACACTAGACCTGGAAATTTGTTGCAGTTACAATGTAATAAGTTTCACTGTCAAAACGGAAGATGTGTCACATACATTCATTCTGCCATGGCTTCTCCTACGATGATATTCAGTGTCTAGCTCTGTAAAACTTCAGTACCCCATTTGCTTTCTCTCGAGTGTGTTCTCTATCTGACATCCCACTCTGAGTGCTGTAGGCAATGTAACCACCACATCCTCTGCTCCGCTGTGCCAGTCGCTGTGTATTCTCCAGGGGTTTGTACCTGTTGCAGTCGCTGCACCTCCTCCTGTTTGTCCTTTAGGATGGTCACCGCGTCTTCATGCTCCACTTCCAGCTGGTGCCTTCGCTCCGCCACTTCTCGCATGTGCTGTACACATAAAACCGCAGTCACTGCCTTGCTCTGCCCCAGCGTGGGCTGGAAATCCTGCTGCCTCCTTGTTATCTCCCGTCTAGACCTTTTCAATTCACTCCTTGCCAGGTTTCACCATCCATATGCTATCATTTGTGGCCAAGCCTTCAGTTACTCCACACCTAACCTCTGGAACTCCCTCCCTCTCCCCTCCATCTGCCCCTCTCTAACGTTCTTCAAATCCCGCCTCTACCTCCTACTTTTTTCGACCACGCCCATGGTCACCTTCCCCTCTCCCTCCTCTTCTCCCAATAGACCAATATCAACAACAACATGCATTTATATAGCGGCCTTCATGCGGGATAGTGTCCCAGAGTGCTTGACAGTGGCAGAGTATGACCCCGAGCCAGGGAGAGAGGGAATGGGGAGAGGTGACTGTAAGCACGATGAAGAATTAAGGTCTTTAGGTGAGATTTGAAGGTGGGGAGGGAGGGGGCAAGGCGGAGGGATTGAGAGAGAGAGTTCCAAAGTTTCAGGGAGTAGAGGCTGAAGGCACGGTCACCAATGGAGGAGCGGAGGGGACAAGGGACGAACAGGAGGCCAGAGCCAGCTGAGCGGAGGCAGCCGGTGGGGGAGTGACTGGTGGGGGGGGGGGGGGGGGGGGGGGGGGCGGTGGGAAGAAAATTGGTTAAGTAGGGAGGTGCGAGGCCATGAAGGGATTTTGAAAACGAGTGAGAGGATCTTGAAATCGATCCGTTCAGTAATTGAGAGCCAGTGGAACCTGACAAAGACTGGTGTGATATCACCCGTGCAATGCACCAAGATCACCCATGCAATAATAATAATAATAATCCTTGCTGATTATAGCAATAATAATAGTGGCTTGGCACGACGTTAAATGCACCAAGACCACCCGTGCAATATCTCCCACGTGTTTTGCCACTGCCTCTCCCGTACCATATCATTTTACCCCTCAATGTAACAGATCTCGCACCCCACCCCCACCCCCTCCCACCCACCTTGCTTTGCTGTACGTGTTACTGTAAACTTTCTAGCAGTGACGCACCTTCAGCACCTGCTCTAGGTTCTCCAGCTTGGCGTGCAGTCGCTCGTTCTCCGTCAAAGCTAAATCTCGTTCCGCCTTCACCCCCGAGAAGCTGCTTCTCAGCTCATTGTTGTGAGATCGAACCTACAGCAGAGAGGATAACAACAACAACAACAAAATTACATGTGTAAAGAGCCTTTCACGTTAGGAGGACCTCCCAAGGCGCTGGTCAGTCAGTGTTTCAGAACCGAGCTGGGGGTCACGGTCGGGGAGGGTGGAGGGCAGGGAGGGAAGGAGCATATTCTGAGGCACGGTCGAAGAGGAGGGTCTTGAGATGGATCTTGAAGGAGTCAAGGGAGGGGCCAAGGCGGAGGGCCTGCGGGATGGAGTTCCAGAGGTTAGGGGCAGAGTGGCTGAAGGCCCACCTGCCAATAATGGGGCAAGTGAGGTGGGAAATGTGAAGCAGGCCAGAGCCCACTGAGTGGAGGGAGCGAGCAGGATGGTAGGGGATTAGGAGGTTGGAGAGGTAGGGGGGAGCAAGGCCTTGGGGGGCTTTGAAGGTGAGGACCAGGATCTTGAACTGTACCCTCTTTGGGGGACAGACACAAAGTGAATCACTGACTGGTCACTGCAGTGGCGGGGAGGAGACCGAATCTCCCATCTGGTTTACAAACCCTGACCTCTGTCGCTGGGTCCAAGTAACTTTGACCCGAGACACAGAAACTAACTCCAAAGCACACTGCTCACTTAAGGATGAAAGTATCAGATGCAGTACTATCCCTCCATACTCCATTACATGTCCTCTCTCTCCCACTCACCCCTTTACTCCTGTATCCTGGGCCTGCACTTGGGAGTCTACAGGAACATAAGAACAGGCAGGGCTTTCAGCCCGTCACACCAATTCTTCCAGTTAGCAAATTGTGGCAGATCTTAAGCTGTTTATTCGCTGTGGTCCAGAGGTGGGGAGGTAAGCAAGGTTTCCCTGGAGCTGAACTCCAAGATGACATGTTTGGCCGCGGAGTGTCAGAATTGAGCCAACCCTCTGTGCCTGTCTCTGGTCCGGTCCCTGAGCCAGGCTAGTCTGCAGTATCCCAGGGCACTGCTGATGACAACATAGCCCAGCCTGGCTCGTTGGCAGGACTCGACAGTCACTGGTGGCAGGGAATACCCCCACACAGCTCCTGTTAACTCTACGAGTCAAAGTCCTAACGGATAGGGTGGTCCTATCTGGAGAAGCAGCAGAAAACGTGCCAGACAATGTTCCCTATTACTCCTTGCCAGATGGCAGCCTGGCTGGGTTGGTAGCACTCTCGCCTCAGAAGGTTATGGATTCAATTCCCTCATCGGCACCAGGCTGACCCTCCTGTGCTGTGCTGGGGGTGGAGCAATGCTTTGTAGGAGGTGCTGCCCTTTGGATGAGATGTTAAACCGAGGCCCCATCTGCTTGTTCAGGTGGACATTAAATATTCCGTGGCACTGTCTGAAAAATGAAGTGAATTCTTCCCGATGTCCAGGCCAACAATCCCCCAATAAAATACAATACCACTTCTATCACGGCTGTTGCTGTGCTGCGCTTGGCTGCTGAGTCTGTCTATAAACCACACAGTCAATACACCTTATAGAAAATCCTGTGAGGCAATTTGACGACGTGATAAGGCGACAAGTGTGGGTGTGGGAGGGGGGGGGTTTGGTTCCGTTGGGGCGGGTGGTGTGGGGGGGGGGGGGGGGGGGAGACAGCACTGTTGTGCATCTGTTACCTTTGTATACCTGATAAAGTTACACACCTATTATTGTTACATATCTTGTCACCGTAACACATCTGATACTGCGCACACCTGGACTGTTTCAGATCTAACAGTGTTACACACCTGCCCCTCACAATTACGTTCTCACGTGCACATGTGCACATTCACACACACATATTCATCCTCTCACACTTACACACACACACACACACAAATGCTGTCATACATGCACACACAGACATACTCACACAGACACACACACAATTATCCCACACAAACACAGACACTCAAATACACACACACAGAGATACTCACACACACACACAGACATTATCCCACACAAACACTCAAATACACACACACAGATACTCACACACGCACGCTGATATCCACACAAGCTCTCAAACACAGAAACACACAGACACACTCATACATGCGCAGATGCAGTCATACACGCAAACAGTCTTACAGTACTGACAATCTGGTGGTCCTGCCTGGTAGGGAGATTGCCAGAGAGCGCTCTCAATGGTAAGCGGTGTGCTTTTAGCCGGCTAAACTTCCCATAGTTGCTCGGGCTTACACTCTGGTGTCCACAAACCTTGGCTTTCGCCAACCTGTGTCTGATGCTCTGGAACTGGAGACGCCGGGCGCGACCCTCCAGGGAGAGAGTGCACATTCCACTCCAGACACAGGAAATGTCTGTGTGTAGGTGGCATATAATAATAATAATACTTGCATTTGACATGGAGCTTTTTCACGCCTTCTAGACCTCTCAAAACACTTCACAGAACGGACTGTAAAGTGAATTGACTGTATATTGGTGGGCGAAACGCGGCAGCCAATTGAAAGACCTATCCAATTAGTCCCACTCCCCCGCTCTTACTGCATAGCCCTGCAAGTTCTTCCTTTTTAAGTACCCATCTAATTATTTTTTGAAAGCTATTATCGAATGTGCTTCTACCACCCTTTCAGGCAGCGCATTCCAGACCATAACAACTCTCTTGGGTAAAAGAAATCTGTAATCAACACTGCAATTCCACCTCCTTTTTTGCCTTCCCTATCGCCGCTGAATCCAGTGTAACAACAACAACTTGCACTTATATAGCGCACTCCACGCAGGGCAACGTCTCAGAGCGCTTAACAGTGGCGGAGCCCGACTCCGAGCCGGGGAGGTGGGGGGGTGGCCATAAGCACTTCACAGAACGTGGCAGCCGATTGCGCACAGCAGTGTCCTGCAAACAGTCGAGGACTGAAGTGACCAATTTTATTATTGTTTTTTTTGTTTAAGGATTATTATGAGGCGGGCGCGTGGAGTAAGGAAACTTGTCCAAGGTTTGGCCCTGCCGGGAATCGAACCCGGGTCTCTCACTTTGCGAGGCGAGGGCTCTAACCACCGAGCCACAGGGACTCCTGTAGATACGAAACTCTCACACGCGTGCGCAAACACTCATATTCAAACACATCGTCGCGTACACTCTCATCCGCGCAATCCACGCACACGCACCGACGCACTCAGTTTGACGGACAATGCTCACAAACGCGCGCTGCCGTTTGTACGCCCCTCAATCGTTGTGCCGGACTGCCCAGGCAAGACCCTGAAACTCGGGGGTAAGAACAATAATCTTTGCGCACAATACAGCGCCTCATCGCGTCATCGAGACGTCTCAAAGCGCTTCACGGGATACACTCTAAAGTGAATTGACTGTACATTTTAATAATAATAATCCTTGCATTTGATATAGCGCTTTTCACGTCGGGAGGACGTCCCGAAGCGCTTCACAGAACACACTGTAAAGTGAATTGACTGTATTTTTTGGGGGCGAAATGCGATAGCCGACCGCGCACACCCCCCCCCCCCCCCCCACACCCCCCCCCCCACACCCACACCCCCACACACACCCCCCACCACACACACCACCCACCCACACCCCCCCCCACACCCCCCCCCCCCCCCCCCCCCCCCCCCCCCCCCCCCCCCCCCCACACCCCCCCCCCCCACCCACACACCCCCCCCCCCCCCCCCCCCCCCCCCCCCCCCCACACACACACCCCCCCACACACACCCCCCCCACACCCCCCACACACACCCCCCCCCCCCCCCCACACACCCCACACACACCCACACACACCCCTACACCCCCACACACCCCCACCCCCACAAACAGAACAGTCCTGGATTGAAGGGACCAATTTTTTTTTAGAAATAAGGGATTATTCCCCCCCGCCCCCCCCCGATGGTCTAACAGTCGGGGGTTCCTACTGACCGTTGTGGGTTAAAACAGCGGCGCGCGGGCGGGGGGGGGAGGGGGGAATGGGGGCGGGGGGAGGGGGCGGGGGGGGGAGAGGGGGGCGCGGGGCGGGGGGGGGGGGAGGGGAGGGGGGAACTGCCCCCCAACGCTTCGTCCGGAGCCGGGAATCGAACCCGAGTCCTGAGGCGACAGAGGCGCTCCCGCCCCAGAGACGGACGGACAGCCCGAGTGTAACCCACCTGTGTGCGCGGGACCCACTGCGCTGCGCTGCGGCCTCGGCCCCGGAGCCCGGAGGGTCCTGTGGCGGGAAGGCGGCGGCGGAGGAGGAGTCGAGCGCTCGAGGGCCGAGATGGAGACTGACTGAGACCCTCCGACCGCCAGGAGTCGCTGCCGCTGCCCCGGCAACAGGCAGCGAATCACAGGGCAGGGCAGCCGGGGGTCACCGCACCCCGCGGGGGGGGGGCTCGGCCCCGCCCCCCGCCCTCCCGGCCTCCCCCCGTCTGCACTCCGCCGCTTGGTACAGTCTAAGCCCCGCAGCTGCCGCCCCCTCCGCTCACACCGGGGCACCGGCAACCGGGGCGCCCCCTCCCATCCCCCATCCCCCCCCAACCCCCCTCCCCAACCCCCCCCCCTATCCCCATCCCCCCCCCCCCAACCCCCCATCACCCCCCCAACCCCCCCTCCATCCCCCATCACCCCCCCAACCCCCTCCCCCCCAACCCCCCCCATCCCCCCCCCCCATCCCCCACCCCCCAACCCCCCTCCATCCCCATCCCCCCCAACCCCCCTCCCATCCCCATCCCCCCCCCAACCCCCCTCCCATCCCCATACCCCCCCAACCCCCCCTCCCATCCCCATCACCCCCCCAACCCCCCCTCCCATCCCCCCCCCAACCCCCCTCCCATCCCCATCCCCCCCCAACCCCCCCTCCCATCCCCATCCCCCCATCCCTCCCCCCCCCCCCCCCCCAACCCCCACCCCCCCCATCCCCCCCCCCCCCCCCCCCCCCACCCCCCCCCCCCCCCTCCCATCCCTAACCCCCCCCCCCCCAACCCCCCCCCATCCCTCCCCCCCATCCCCCCCCCCCCCCACCCCCCCCCTCCCATCCCCTAACCCCCCCCACTCCCCCCCCAACCCCCCCCCCCCCTCCCATCCCCTAACCCCCATCCCCCCCAACCCCCCTCCCATCCCCTACCCATCCCCCATCACCCCCCAACCCCCACTCCCATCCCCCAACCCCCCCCGCTCCCATCCCCCAACCCCCCTCCCATCCCCCACATCCTCCCCACCCCCCAACCCCCCTCCCATCCCCCAACCCCCCCTCCCATCCCCCAACCCCCCTCCCATCCCCCATCACCCCCCAACCCCCCCTCCCATCCCCCCATCACCCCCCCTCCCCCTCTCATCTCCTGCAATACTTACAATAATAACCACTGAGCTACAGGACCCCCCACATCCCCCACATTCCCCTCCCCACACTAACCCACCCCTCAAAACCCCCTCCCCCCACACTAACCCACCCCTCACATCCCCCTCCCCTCACACTGATGCCCCCCTCCCTCCACACAAATGCCAGCCCCCCATCACATTCCCCCTCCCCCCACATACTGGTGCCCTGCTCCCCCATCACATTCCCCCTCCCCCCCACATACTGGTGCCTGCTCCCCCATCACATTCCCCCTCCCCCACATACTGGTGCCCTGCCCCCCCATCACATTCCCCCCCCCACCTTGGCCAAGTCCCAACATTCCCCCTCCCCCCCACCCCGCCTCCTCCCCCGACGGTACCTTTGTGCCCTGACGATGGCTGATGGTTAGGGTGGGGGGTACTCACTGTGCGGTGGCTGAGCGAGCCTGGGGGTCCTCGGCCCATGACCACAGCTAACTGTCTCTGCAGCTGCAACACCTCCTTCTGGGCTTCTCGGAGCAAACGCTCAGTGTTCCTCTGCTCCAAGCGCTCGAGGATCTCCTGCACACACACACACACACACACACACACAGCCCCGTGTCAGCCTCGCTGCAGACCCACCTGCCGTACCCCAGCTCTGTGAGTGAGAGTAGGTGTGCGCACGGGAGTCGATGAGTGCGTGTGTATGCGTGTGCGGCAGTGGGTGTGCGTGTTAATGTGTGAGAATGTCAGTATCCTCGCATTTGATACAGCGGCTTATCACGTCTTCATGACATCTCAAAGCGCTTCACGGGATACACTGTAAAGTGAATTGACTGAATATTTTGTGGGCGAATCGCGGCAGCCGACTGCACATAGCAGCGTACCCACAAACCCCCGTGGATTGAGTGACTACATTATAACGTGTTTTTCTTTTAACTTTTTTTTAAAAGGATAATTACCCCCGGAAAAGCGATCCTACTTACTGCTCGGTAAACAGAAGCATGTGGAGTGAGAAAACCTGCCTAACATTTTGCCTTGCCCTGGAATCGAACCCAGGTCCTCTCGCTTACAAAGCAAATGCTCTGACCACTAGGCTACAGGACTCCATATGTAATATTAATATATTATATAATAATCCTTTACATTTGTTATACCATCTTTCATGTTGGGAGCATGCCTCGAAACTGTAAAGTGTATCCACTGTGTGTTTCGTGGACAAATGTTGCAACCAATTTGTCCAAAACAAATTTGTCCCATTAAACAGCCATGAAGCAAAAGATCAATTCTATCTGGGGAATTTTTGGCCAGGACACTGGGAGAGAGAAACTCCCTCCTCCTTTATCGAATAATCCCATGGGATTTAATTTAGATTACGAGTTCAAAGTCCCCAAAATGGAGGGTGAACCCACGATCTTCTGACTTGAAGGCCAGCATGCTACCAGGTCGATCTATGAACACACGTAAGGAAGTTTCTATGTGGGGGTGAGTGTGGATACGAGTGTGTGATGGTATGAGTGTGTGAGGGTGACTGTTTGTGTGTACAGTATGTAAGTGCAAGGCTGACACCTTTTCCTTACACAGTATAATGTTCCTACAAGCTAAAGGAGGGAAAACAGTGAAACAGTGAGTCAATCGATACCCTCCTTTACCTGAGAAATCTCAGATCATTTTTGCTCACAGCACAGATAAATAAATAAGGTTCTGTTTACACTGTGGACAGTAAACCACTGTGCCATTGTAGGTGTCACATTTCCTTCCAACATTTTGTCAATTCAATAGGTCTGCTTTCACCGGGAAATCCAATTTCATTTCAGTGTGTGTTCCAACTGAGCAACAGCACTGCTTGTTACGATTGCGCTGGTACTGTCTGCCAACAACAACAAATTGCATTCATACAGCGCTTTTCACTCCCAAGCATTTGAGTGTTGGTCAGAGCAACAATCTGTTACTCAGGGTGTGAGACCAGAACACGCTGTGGGATGGGGTGTTCTTGCCAGGGAAAGCTGGGCGGGTAGCAATGCACAATTCTCACTACACTAAACAGGACATCAGATGTCCCGTTATAATAATAATCCTTGCATTTGATATAGCGCCTTATCAAGTCTTCAAGACGTCTCAAAGCGCTTCGCAGAGTATATCCTAAAGCAAATTGACTGTATATTTGTGGGCAAAATGCGGCAGCCAATTGCGCACAGCAGTGTCCCACAAGCAGTCATGGATTCAGTGACCAAATTATTATTAATTTTTTTTGGAGGGATTATTATCCCCGGAAAAGCGATCCGCCAATCGATTAACAACTGGGTTCCTACTTACTGCCAAGTAAACAAAAGCATGTGGAGTAAGAAAACTTGCTTAACTTTTCACCCTGCCAGGAATCGAACCTGGGTCCTCTCGCTTGCCAGGCAAATGCTCTAACCACTGAGCTACAGGACAGTTTGGGGGAGGGGGGGGGTGTTATGCTCACCTTGGAAAAGCCAGACTTAGTGAAGCAAGAACAAGACCTGGACAAAATGGTTTGCATGAGGGAATCTCTGAGTGCGTGTTCTGGGAAGGGCTGAAGGAGGTTGCTGAGGCGTCCCAGATACAGTATGATATCCTATCGAGCAAAATGTGGGCAGAAATACACATCACGCAGGAGAGGAGATGAGCTCTCAGACACAAGGAGGGGAGGATGGCTCAGGAAACGGGGAAGAGCAGGGAATTGGGATTAGGACTGATGGCTTCTTGGAAGGTCAAACATCACTACCTTGATAAAGTGGACCGAGTGGCCTCCACAGTGAATATCAGATACATTAAAGTGTGTGGACGGTTAAATGTTCCTATACTTTGTTTTGTGCGGGGTTCCTCAGGGCACTGTCCTTGGTCCCTCCTTTTCAATATCTATACACTCCCTCTTGGTGACATCATCCACAGACATGGAGTCAACTTCCACATGTGTGCAGATGACACCCATCTCTATCTCTCTGCCTCCACCCTCGACTCCAGGACCACTGCTGTCCTAACAGAATGTCTGTCAGACATCAAGTCCTGGATGAGAGCGAACTTTCTTCAGTTGAACGTCAACAAGACCGAGGCTCTCCTGATTGGCTCCCGTCAGCGCCTCCTCACCTCACCATCCATGGTTGCACCCTCCACCTCGCTGAGCCAGTCCAGAACCTTGGAGTCTTGTTTGACCCTCAACTATTCTCTCCACCCCACATCTGCGCCATGACCCGCTCTGCCTTCCCCCACCTCAGCAACGTCACAAACTCCGACCTGTCTCACATTGCAGGCCCCCGAAACCCTCATACATGCATTGATTACATCGAGGCTCGACTATGCAAACTCATTGCTTGTCGGCCCCCCAACTCCTCCCTCCACAGGCTGCAGATCATCCAGAACTCTGCAGCCCGTGTCCTCTCCCGCACTAGGCTCCATAACCCTATCACCCCCATCCTCGCCCGACTCCTCTGGCTTCCAATCACACAGAGGATACAGTTTGCTTCACGTCCCCCACCTCGCTCGCCCCACTATTGGCGGACGGGTCTTCTTCTAGTCTGCCCCCACCCTCTGGAACTCCATCCTGCAGTCCCTCCACCTCAACCCCTCCCTTGCCACCTTCAAGACCCATCTCAAAACCCTCCTCTTTGACCGTGCTTTCGATCTCCACCCAAACTCGGTGTTTCAGCACAGACATCGAGGGATGTTTCAGCCAGTCTATCTAAGCCAGTAAGTGAGCCATACACCTGTGAGACAGCAAGTGACAGAAGTAGGACGGATGCTAAAGTTGGTCCATTTGGACTTTTTGCAAAGTAATAAAAGTAATAATAAGAATTGCATTCCAACTCCAGGAGGGTCTGGGAATTTGACCCCACACTTGGCCGAGCCTGATTGATCAGTGATGGCTGATTTGCAGCCATTAACTCAATACTGTGGTATTGTGGTCACTCAATCCACGGCTGTTTGTGGGACGCTGCTGCGCACAATTGGCTGCCGTGTTTCGCCCACAAAATATACAGTCAATTCACTTTACAGTATACCCTTGAAGTGCTTTGAGATGAAGGCTCTATTTCAAATGCAAGGATTATTATCATTACTGTCTTATGTTTCTATGGTTCTAAAACTCTAGGTCGTGTCGTTCGAAGAAGAGCAATGACTGTGAGCCAACACAGGGAATTGACTTACTTTTGAACAGCAGTGTCATTTCGCATTGTGCTGGGTTACCGTGTCTACATGTGCATCTGGATTCCAATTAGCATCAGACCCCAAGGCTACGTGACCTAGTTTGCAGAGGAGTGCAGTGTGCGGCAGTGGTGGCAGCAAATACAGTAAAATCCGAGCCGGGAAAGGGGGAAGGGTTTCCCTGAGCAGATGGGACGACCAGGACACACATTTGTAACAGTGTAAATGTGACTCGTGCAAATAGGTCCTGGATGCGTGAGTCTCGCTGGGCAAAACAACATCCCTCCACCACCTTCTGCAGCACCAACCCCTCCCTTTCCCCACCCCACTGTCGGTACCTGGCTCGGCTGCAGGTTGGCACGCAGCAGTTGGCACTCTTGTTCCAGCCCTTCGATCTGCTTGTCTTTGGCGAGGATGGCATCAGCGTGTTGGGTCAGCTCTCTGGCTCGCTGCCTGGCGCAGGCTCTCTTGTAGTGCTGCAGGCTGGAGCCTCGAGCCAACATGGGGTTGTTGACCTGAGTCAGAGGACCACAGTGTGTGAGGAACGACCAAACAAGGCATACACACAGTGCTGTGCTGCTGGATGTAACGATTGGAATGGAGTTACAAGGAAAGGCTGTTGAGGCCAGCCAGGACACTGGACTCATTTAAGAAACAGCTCAATGCTGTGATGGGAGGTCAGGAGAGTGGGGATTCTGGAAGGAGGAGAGCAAATGGGCTTTCATCGTCCCAACCACTTTTGTGATACAGTGAAGAATCCATAATAACTTTTTTAATAAAAAGTTTGAGAATTACTTGAAAAATAAAAATATAAAAAGGTAAAATGAAAGAGCAGGGAATGGGGTTAAATTGAATAACTCATCCAAACAGCCACAGCATGATGGGCTGAAGGTCTGTGCTATAAAATTGATGTTTTTCCAAAGCTATCTAACCTTAACTCACACTTTTACATCACCTCTCAAGTATATATATTTTTGGGGGGGTCAGCTAAGCGTCTGACACATGAGGAAACCCATCACCGTGCTTCAGAGTATCCAAACCAATCTGAGAATTCCATGCCTCCCACCTACACATGAGATAGATTGTTGGAATGGAATGCAAACTCTCAGTGTCTGGAGGGACACATCCTGCTTACCCAATTCCAGAAAGTATTAGGCACAGGTTGGCAAGACCCAAGGCTTGTGGACCCCAGAGTGTGCGTTGGGGTAACTGCTGGAGTCTAACCAGCTAAAAATGCATCGCTTGTCATGGATATCGCTGGTTTCCCGCTGCTTGTCCACCTAGAACCACCCTATCCATCAGGGCTTTGGCTTGCAGGGTTAACAGGAGATGACTCCCTGCCCCCAGTGACTGGTCTGCCCTTCCAAATCCTGCCGTTGAGCCATGTCATCAGCAGTGCCCTGGAACACTGTGTACCCATCAGGCTCAGAAACCGGATTAGAGACCGCCACAGAGGGCTGGCTCGATTCCGACATTCCATTGCCAGGCATGTCATCTTGGCATGTTCAGACAATGTTCAGCTCCAAAGAGACCCCGCTTACCTTCTCCCCACGAAGGATGATCCTCTCAAGTAGGGTAACGGTCTTGAAGCATGGCACAAAGAGTACATGCAACACAAGTTGTACACACGACACACATGTCACATATGACGCACATGTCACACATGACACCTGTGTCGCACGACACCTGGGGCACATAAGACGCACATGGCATATACTGCACAGCACACGAGTCACACGCAACCACACTCAGTGGAGATGCTGTTTCTAGCACAGAGCGCAGACGCGCACGGCCCTCACAGCTGCCCACACTCACCACTCTCAGGTTGGCCTCCTGCAGTTTCTTGGCTCTCTCCTCCAGGCGTTTGGCGGTTATGGCCAGCTCAGCATTTTTCCGTTTCAGCCTCTTCACTCTCTCCTCGGTCTCGCTGCAGTTGCCGTGGCGCTGACAAGGAAACAGGCGGGTCGAGTCCAAAACCAACAACAACTTGCATTTACTCAGCGTCCCTCATGCAAGGTAGCGCCCCAGAGCGCTTGACAGTGGCGGAGCACGACAACACCGAGGCAGGGTGAGGCACGGCGATAGAGGAATATCTTCAGGTACAACCTGAAAATGGGGAAGGAGGGGGCAAGGCGGAGGGATTGAGGGAGAGAGTTCCAGAGTTTCGGGATGCACTGGCTGAAAAACCGGAGCATGGTGGAGGAACATTACGTCAGGATTAAAGCTAAAGAGGAGGCCTGTCAGTGTAGCAAGACACCGAGTACAGAGGAATAGAGGATAAAGTATAGGATGCTCAGAGCAGATGGAGAGAAAGTGTATGAAGAATAGGGATTAAAGAAGTCAAGTCAAACTCACTTTCCTCTCTCCATAGATGCTGCCTGACCATTAGCCACTCTGTTCCCACCCTCTGGAACTCCATTCCGCAGTCCCTCTCCCCCTTGCCTCCTTCAAGATTCATCTCAAGACCCTCCTCTTCGACCATGCCTTTGGTCACCCTCCTTCCGCCCCTGACCCCCACCCTCCCCAATCCCGACTCCCAGTTCAGGTCCGAAACACTGATTGTCCAGCACCTTCGGACGTCCTCCCGATGCGAAAGGCGCTACACAAATGTAATTTTGTTGTTGGTTTTGTGACCTGCTGTGTGTTCCCAGCGACTTCAATTTTTATTTCAGATTTCCAGCAACTGCAGTATTTTGCCTTTTAAGAAGAATAAGGTCTCACTCCATGACTATTTGTGGGACAATGCTGTGCTTAGCCGGCTACCGTGTTTCACCCTCAAAATACACGGTCAATCCACTTTACAGTACATCCTGTGAAGTGCTTTGAGACGGTTCAATGATGCGATAAGGCGCTACATCAAATGCAAGGGTTATTATTAATGAGGGATGAAAAAGGGGTCGCGTGGAACATGAAAAGGAAATAAAGAAGGTTTCATAGACGCGTAAAGAACGAGGATAATGCGGAAAAATGTGGGCTCACTCAAGCACACGGAGGCAGTTGCAGCTTGTCACGTCCCCATTAGCTCCAAATGAGNAAAAAAAGGATTGAACAGAGGGACTCGGCAGCACCAGACAGCTGGTGTCTACACGAAGCACTCTGGGACGCTGCCCCACGTGAGGTGCGCTATATGTTGTTGTTGTTGTTGTTGTTCAGCTCAGGATTCATGGCGATAGATTTCGGGGACTGGAGAGCAGTTCCGTGCATTTCTCTCAAGGCCTCCTCCATCTTGTTAAACAATAAAAACAATAATCGCTTTATGTATTTGGCACATCGAGAGGACCCCTCAAAGTGCTATCTACTAAAAAGTGTAGTGACTGTGTATTTTGTGGGCAAACATCCCAATCTATCAGCCTAGCAAGTGATATCAAGGTCCCGACGTGCGTCTTGAACCCACAACCTCCTGACTCCTGAGGCCAGAGAGCTTCCAGCTGAGGGAGGCTGACACTGTTGTTCACACAAATGAGCTCATTGTAAATTCTGCCTCCGTTCACAGCTGTGGGTGTGGGTGAAACTGTGTCGAGAATGATGAGTTGAAAGGATAAACAGTGAGAGGTGTATCGTGAGCAGGGCAGGAACAAACTGGCTCCAAAAGCAGTGAGGAAGATCACACAAGCCGTGCTTGCAGGTGAACGTCAAGACTGAGGCCCTCCTCATTGACTTCCGTCAGCGCCTCCACACCTCAGGCGCTGACAGCATCACCATCCATGGTTGCACACTCCACCTTGCTAAGCGAGTCTGGAACCTTGGCGCCTTGCTTGACCCTCAATTATGCTTTCTACCCACATCCGTGCCGTGACCCCCTCTGCTTTCCCTCACCTCCGCAACATCACCCGGCTCCGTCACTGTCTTTCACCGCAGGCCGTCGAAACCATCACCCATGCGTTTATCACATCGAGGCTTGACTACACAAACTCCCTGCTTGTCGGCTTCCCAATTCCTCCCTTCATAAGCTGCAGATATCCAGAACTCTGCAGCCCATGTCCTCTCCCGCACTTGGCTCCGTGACCCCTCGCCCGACTCCACTGGCTTCCCATCACACAGAGGATACAGTTCAAGATCCTGGTCCTCACCTTCAAAGCCCTCCATGGTCTTGTTCCCCCCTATCTCTCCGACCTCCTAACCCCCTATGATCTTGTTTGCTCCCTCCACTCAGCGGGCTCCGGCCTGCTTCACGTCCCCCACCTCGCTCGCCCCACTGTTGGCGGACGGGTCTTCCTCTAGTCTGCCCCCACCCTCTGGAATTTCATCCCGCAGTCGCTCTGTCTCGCCCCCTCCCTTGCCTTCTTCAAAAACCGTCTCAAAACCCTCCTCTTCGACTGTGCCTTCAGTCACCTTCCTACTCCCGCCTTCCACCCCTCCACCCCCTCCTGATCCCAACAGCTCGGGCGTGGATCCCTGACTGTCCAGCGCCTTGGGACATCCTCCTGACATGAAAGGCAGGCGCTGTATAAATAATAATTTGTTGTTGTTGTAGTCCAGCCTGGATGTAATGAAAGCGTCGGCTGAGGGTTTCAGCAGCGTGAGGGGGGAGATAGTGGCGGAGGAGGTAATGTTGCAGTGGAAGGTTGGGGTGTCGATTGGGCCATTTAAAAGAGATGTAGGCGAAGGATGCAGAGTAAAGGGATCAATGGGAATGGAGAGAGAGCAGGAGTTGGGATTAGAAGGCATAGCTGCTCGGGAATAAACACACACGTTTCTATGGACTCAACCTCTATAAATATTGCCATCTGGTGGCCGAGAGCAGTGATCTCGTGGACTGGAACCATACCAGGAGCGAGAAGTCGGTTGGGGGTATTCCAGGGGGTGTTGGGGTGTAAAGGAGCGTTCTGTGCTCAGGAACATTAAGGCTGGGCTGGGCTGGAGCTTGGGTCGGTGTGTGTGTCTGTGAACACTATGAACACTCTGTTACACACATTTTGCCCACAAAATACACAGTCACTCCATTTTACAGTATATTCTGTGAAGCGTCCTGGGACGTCTGAATGAAGTGACAAGGCGCCGTATTGTGGAGTCCTGTAGCTCAGTGGTTAGAGCACTCGCTTTGCAAGTGAGAGACCTGAGTTCAATTCCAGGCAGAGGGCGAAACCTTGGGCAAGTTTCCTTACTCCACACAGAGCCTAATAATAATCCCTCCAAAACCAAAAACAATAATAATTGGTCATTTTCAATCTACGACTGTTTGTGGGACATTGCTGTGCGCAATTGGCTGCCGCGTTCTCCCACAAATATGCAGTCAATTCACTTTACAGTGTGTTCTGTGAAGCGCTTTGGGACGTCCTCCCGACGTGAAAAGCACTATATCAAATGCAAGGATTATTATTATTATTATCAAATGCAAGGATTGTTATTATTATTAATAAATCTGGCATTGTACTGTGCGGCCTGCTGTGCTCTAACCACACAGTCCTGCACTGTGCAGCCTCTCATTGCTACCTTCACCCACAAATGCAAATGCAGTCACTACACTGCGCAGGGAAAGCTTGTGAAGCGCTTTGAGATATCTTGATGATGGTGCTATATCAATTGCAACGATTATTGTTAGATACTGTGACACACAGAGCACTGGATGTGCAGCCTCCTTCTGCGCTTTATACAAAGATGTATTTTGCAGTCTCACCCTGTGTTATGCAGACAATGATGTACTGTGAACACTCACCCGGTCACAAACACACAGTGGTATCTCTCTTTATTCGGGGAGGAAAGAGATGAGGACGGGGATAGAGCAACAACTTAATAAAAATAATCCTTGCATTTGGCCTTATCAAGTCAGCTCTCAAAGCGCTTCACAGGATTTAATATGAATGGACTACTGTGACATGAAACTGTAGGCAAATTAGCATAAACGGCACACAGCAATGCCCCACAAACAGCCACGAGGATCGAGGGACCAATTTTATCTGGCGTTGGCCAGGACTCCCTTCTCTTTTCAAATAGCACCACGGAATCTTTAACATCCACCTGAACAGGCAGACGGGACCTCGGTTTATCTTCTTATCCAAAGGACGGCATCTCAGACAATGCAACGCACCCCCCCACTCCCAGCGCTGCATTGGGGTGTCATCTTAGACTCGGTGATTCCAAGCCCCGTCGTGGGGTATGAACCCACAACCTTCTGGCTCAGAGGCGAGAGCGCTACCACTGAGCCAGGCTGGCACACAAGAGTAACTTGCATTCATATCACACCCTTCAGGTTGGGTAATGCCTCAGAACACTTTAGACTGGGTCAGATGTAAGAGGTGTGGAGAAAGGGAGGCGGCCTATTTCAGTCTATGTGTGTATGCAGGAGGGAGGGGAGGAGAGGGGGGGACTGAGACATGCAGCACAGTAGTACAGTACAGTACAGTACAGACCAGCACTCACCAGGAGCGAGTTTTCTGTCCGCAATAAGGCGCACGTGCGTTCCAGCTCCCTCAACGCCCGCAACAGCTCCATGTTACGTCTCCTCAGGGACCCGGAACTCGTGCCGTTCTGTAAAACACAAACGAGCATGTGGGTGAGAGGGGGTGGGGGGGGTGGGGCGGGGGGAAGATAGGGAGGGGCTCTGTGAGGCTGTTGGGAGCACACAGAGCAATTGGCTCTCCCTGCACAGCTGCCATCCCACTGTAACTGGACACAAGTCGATGCCGAAATAACGTGTAACAACTGGCCCGGGATCAAGGCTGTGAAGGGCAACTTCAGGGCAAACACGAGGAACATAGGAACAGGAATAGGCCATTCAGTCCCTCGAGCCTGTTCCGCCATTCAATTAGAAAATGGCTGATCTGTAGCTCAACTCCAATTAGGAAGTGTTTCTTTAGACAAGAGTAACTAATGGACAGGATTACCAGGGAAGATGGTTGATGCCAGGACACTGGACCCATTTTAGAGCCAGCTTGATGCTGCAATAGGTGGGGGGGGCACTCATCCCCCCAGAGGATTGAGTTCAAGATCCTCATCTTCACCTTTAATATCCTCCATGGTCTTGCTCCTCCCTATCTCTGGGCCTACTAAATGTTACCAATCTGTCCACTTCCTCCACTCAGTGGGCACTGTCCTGCTCCATGTCTCCCAGCCGGCCTGCCTCACCGTTGGAGGTCAGGCCTTCAGCCTTTCGGTCCCATCCTCTGGAATTCCATCATGGAGCCCCTCTGCCACACCACGTTGCCTCCTACAAGTCCCGTCTTAAGACCTTCCTTTTCGACCATACCTTTGGTCATCTTCTCCCTTCCACCCCCATTACCCTCTATCCCTCCTGACTCCAGTCCCCAGCTACTGGTGCAAACCCTTCAATCTCGAGCATTTTGGGACATCCGATGTTGAAGGTGCTAAAAAATGCAATTTGTTGTTGTTGTTGCTGCTATTGTTGTTGTTGTTGTCCTGGTGGCGGTGGGTCAATTGATGAATGGCCAGGTCATTCAATGTGTAATGTGAGAGAACAGGAGGTTCAAACAAACAGCAACTCTGTATAACACCTTTCACATTGAATAACGTCTCAAGATGTGTAATGTGAGAGAACAAGGAAATTCAAGTACAACAACTTAATTTAATGCCTTTCACATGGAATAACATCTCAATAGTGCACAGTCACCGCAAGTCAGCCAAGAAACCACATCTCCATTTTCAGAACCAGCACAGGACCCACTGCGGAGGCTACAATTCAACAATACTACTTAGAGCAAGCGGTTAACTGAAGAAAGCTGCTGATCAAATCCAGGGTTACATGGATAATTACCCGCTAAGCACAGTTCCAAATATGGGTCTTCAGCGATTGATAATTGGAGTGATTGCATAGGGGAGTTGAGTTGTGACACGGGTTTGGCTGGGTTTGGTATACGGTGGGGTTGGGATTGGTACATGGTGTTTGCCAGGGTGACGTCACAGAGAGATTGCAAATCTACTAGGTATGAGACATGGTTCATTAAATTGGGCCTTTTTTTTTTCTGCAGGAGTGGAGGAAATTGAGAGGGGATACAATAAGAATATCTTGAAGTATTCAAGACAGGGTAATAGAGGGGGACAGAATGATTTCCTTTAGCTGGAGTATCGATGTAAAGGAGGCACAAGTCTCAGGATGTGTTTGAAGAAGAATATGCGAAGAGCTTTGAAGGAATGTCTTCACTGAGAGGCTTTGGGGAGATCCGAATTCATTGCCACAAGTGGCTATTGAGGCGAGATCCACTAGTGAATCATTAAAAAGGGAACTGGATACGCATCCGAGCAATAAAAACATTAAGGGAGGAGGGGGAAGAGAGCTGGAAAGTGAGATTAGTGGGATAAAAAAGGGGGCGATTTAGAAAGACACAGTATATGTCCCAGACACGATGAGCTGAATGACCAAAATTTCTAAGGGGTACAAGTTGCAGTGTTTGACCCAGTTCTTGTGTTAACCAACAATAAGGGTTGAGAAACAGAGCTCATTTAATCCCGTTACTCATTTAGCATCGCTGTTCTTAATCAGGACTGACCCGCTGCTCGGTGAGACCCCATATCTCTTAAGTGCTCCGAGACGCCGTCAGGGGTGCTGGGCCCTATGTAAATGCAAGTTGCTGTTGTTGTTGTTGTTGTTGTTGTGGCTCCCCGCAGCCCCTTCTCTCAATCTGCTGTTAAGATAAATCCCCTCATGTGGGCCTGTGAGACGGGCAATTGTGACTCATCAACAACTTGCATTTTCATAGCGAGGTCGCGCCCGGAGCGCTTGACACCGTATCAAGCGGACGGCATCAGGAGTCACTCACAGAGTACAGGGATGGGGGGGGGGGTCACTCGAGGAGCACCAGTCCTAGAGGGCAAAGCTCACCCGCTGATCGCTGTGGGGAGGAGGCGTGGGAACTTGATGATGATTTGTATACAGGAGTGTGAGGACAGTGACTAAACCAGACTGACACAGAGCCACTGAGCCGGACTGACACAGGGGTGGGGGCTGGGGGTGGGGGGAGGGGGCTGGGGTGGGGGGGGATTACCCACAGCAGTGTCCCAAAATAGGCGTTGACTGAATGACCAAATTACTATTTTTTTAAAGGGATTATTACCCCTGGAAACATGATCTGCCACTAATAACCAGGTTCCTACTTTACTGCTAGATAAAGAGGTGCACGGGGTGAGCAAGTTGCTGTTGTTGAAATCTCATCCAATGTAATTTTACTCGACATTCGAACTAAAATCACTTGAAATTTCATATCACTCTTATGTTTTACACAAATTCCATGAAATGTTATTTTGTTGCCCGTTTGTGCAGGAGTTGCATCAAAAGTGATTTTGCACGACAATTGTACTGAAACCACTTGAACTTTTACTTCCCTCCACATTTTTACAGAAATTCCATGAAATGTTACTTGGTTAATACTTTGCTTGCAGTGGTTTTTGGTCACTTCAACCCACGACTGTTTGTGGGACAGACGCTGCTGTGCACAATTGGCTGCTGCGTTTCGCCCACAAACTACACAGTCAATTTACTTTACAGTATATTCTGCGAAGCGCTTTGAGACGTCTTGAAGACGTGATAAGGCGCTGTATCAAGTCCAAGGATTATTATGGTATTATTATTTTGTTGCATGTTTGTACAGAGAGCGGGGAATCAGCGGAAGTATGTTGCAATGGAAACATAATTGGCTGACCGATGGAACCCAGGGGGTGGTGGTAAAGGGAATGCCGTCAGGCTCGGAGAACGTTACCAGTGGAGTTCCACCGGGGGCTGTTTTGAGGCCTCTTTTATTTAACATCTTC